CTGGAGAAATGCCTATCCTGTGCCTGTTTTTCAACTGATCTACTTTTTATTGAGTAGTAGGTATTTTTGTGTATTCATTTTGGGGGAAGGGATTTCATGACAAGAGTTTCTCTACATAGGCCTGGCTGTTCTAGAACTTGCTCTGTAGATCAGGTTGGCCTTGAACTCAGAGATGGGCTTGTCTCTGCCTCTTGAGTGCTGGAATTAAATGCATGTGCCACCATACCTAGCTTCTAGAAGCAAGTGTCTTATCAGATAATAATTTGCAAACTCCTTTCATCTATAATTTTTCAGTGTCTTGACCTTTATGGCATAGGTTTTTAGTTTTGATGGTGCTCAGTGACTTGGATTTCATTGTTTTGTGGTAGGATTCAAACCCAGAGCCTGGCATACATTAGGCAAGTGTTACCCCCAGCCCTCTGGTCTTCCCTTTGCACTTGTGCTTCTGACGTCATAGCTAAGAAAGATGGCTTGACTCAAGGACACACATACAGGCATATTTTCTTCTCAGAGCCTTGTGTTTGGACACCACCAGACGGTCCATAAGCTTTTCTGTGGAACATTTCCTTGATTGATGACTGATGCGTGGGGGGGGCTGGGGGGTCCATTGCAGGTGGTGCCACCCCTGGGCTGATGGTCGTCCTGGGTTGTATAAGAAAGCAGGCTGAGCAAACCATGAGGAACAAGTCAGTAAGTGGTGTTCATCCATGGCCTTTTCATCAGCTCCTGCCTCCCGGTTCTCACCTTGAGTTCTCTTAAAGATGGACTGTGATTAGGATGTGAAAGCCAAATCAACCCTTCCCCCTCATCAGGTTGCTTTTGGTTGTGTTTTATTGCAGCAGGAGAAAGTAAACTAAAACGCATGTAGATTTTTAGTGTATTGTAGCTTGATTTTCATATATGCTGTAAAGGTCAAACTTTTTGCTTTGAGACAAAATCACTATGTGGCCCTTGACTGGCCAGCACTTACCATGTGACCAGGCTGACCTCAAACTCACATGGATCCATCCGCCTCTGCCTCCTGAGTGCTGGGATTAAATGTGTGCACCACTGCATCTGGCTTCAAATTCATTCTTTACATGTGGAAGTCCAGCTGGTACGTTTAAAACCATTAGCAAAAGCACAGGAAAACGGCCTGTTGGACCCTGGTGACATGAATCTCCACTGAATCTTTGCTGAGAGACACATAGGAGTGTCCAGTAAGCAGTTATTTGAAAGTACCCTTTACCACAGAAGAGCTAGTTCTTCATTCAGTCCCATCCAATGTTCACTGAGCACCTGTTCTGCAAGACTCAAAGATCTGGATCTCAGAGTCAGATACCATAAAGGTCTTACACAGCGCATTATCCAGGACCCCCCCCCCCCAGCCTGGTGGGGTTGGTCTTGTGAAGTCCCAGTTAGTGAAGCTCTCTCTGGAAGTGTCTATGAGAGCATTTCAGGGACATCAGACTAGGAGGGTTAATCCTCTGATGGGGCCATACCATGACCATACTGAGGATGTGGAAAAGTAGGAGGCAGGTCCTTGATGGAAGAAGTAACTCGCTGAGGTGTGTGCTTGGACTATGTCTTCTCACTACCTGTCCAGGTTCCCTCTCTGGGCTTCCTGTCCAAAGTGGAGACACTTCCTTTGTCCACCACAGCACATGGGCCAAGCAACAGTAGTCTGAAAACACCAGCTAGAACCTTCAATTTATTATCACAGAGATTTTGGTTGCAGAGACAGAAACTGGCTACTACAGTGGGCTTCTTGAAGGGGGATGATGGAGTTTGAACTTGAATAGGTGTGGTGAAGGATTTGACAGCCACTGTCTTGGGGGAAACACACTGTAGGCAGAGGGCATAGCCACTGCAAGGAGTATCAGACGGGTCTGTGCCTGGCATTTGTGCAACATGCAGGAGGCCAATGCTGAAACAGAGGTAGGGATGGACCGCAGAAGGCCCGGTCACCTGGAATCTGGTTTGATACCATGGAGACTACAAAAGAGCTGGAACAAGTCAGTCGGAGTGGAGGTTTCTGAGCTGCACTGTAACCTGAGCTGGCTTACTGCTGCTCATCAGGACACTGCCAGGTGAAAATGGATTCTGGGAGAACAAGAGCATGAAAGAAGCATCTGGAACCATCTAGACGAAGGAGGGGAGTGAGTGGTTGCATTCCAATTGCAACATGAAAGGTGCTAAAAGGGTTTTCACATAGAGATATCACATCCTTGACAACTAGACAGAGGTGACAGAGGCAGAGTCGGGGGTGACTGTGGTAACCTGGGCCCAGAAGATTGACATCACTATTATTTACCATGGAGCCCACCGGGGAAGCAGACTTGGGAATACAGGGAGGCAAGGGTTCAGTTCGGGGCAATTCAGCCTGAAAACTTTTTCCAACTTCCAAATGGAGGCACTGGATAGACAGCTGGAAAATGGAAGGCCAGGACAAATACTCACAATTAGACAGCAGAAGTGAGAGGGTTATACAGGAGGCCAAGGGTGCACCTGGCGCTTGTGGCATTAAGAGACAGGGGTGTAAAGAGCAAGCCAGGACAGAGCTCAGAGTGGTTTGCGAGTCTATTTTCATAGTTCATCAACTGCCTGAAAACATTACCCTTAGTATGTCTTCAGCTTCCCCTCCCCTCCCTCCCACCAGTTACTGTATACTAGGACAACTGATCTTACACAGGAGAGAAAGAAAATGGCCACTAATGAAACAGTGTAGACACAGCAGCAACCTGAGCTCGGCTTTGTCAGCTACACCAAACTATATATACTACAGACTTCTGATGGTAACCCACCACAGAAGAGTCTGCAGCCATCTTTACCTTCTTCTCATGCTTAATGCATTGCTACTACCTGGTCACAAAGTCAAAATGACTTTCGTTGCTTTTCTTTAATTTTATCTTTATTCATGTGTATGTGTGTTCTGATCTTAAACATAAGAAGAGGGTGTTTGATCCCCTGGAGCTGGAGGTACAGATGGTTGTGAGCTGCCCGGTATGGGTGTGGGAACTGAACTGAGGTCCTCTGGAAGAGCAGCAAGTGCTCTTAACTGCTAAGCCATCTCTCCAGCCCCTTGTTTTGTTTTCTTGATACAGGATCTCACTATGGTCCCTACCTTGCTCTAAATTTGTAATTCTCCTGCCTCAGCCTCCCAAGTACTAACTCCACTGAACTGCAGAAAAGGGGTTGCAGAATGTTGGTGGAAACTACCTGGTGTCCACTGTCCTCCAAAGCCAGAGCCACCACAGCAAGCCCCATCCCACCATGGGGTGCTGATGAGGGGAAGCTACGATGGGAATCCACTGGGGCCAGCCTAACTAAGCCAAACGTTTTGGTCTACAAACTTCTTTTTGTTTCTTGCTGCATTGCTCAGGCTGACCTCTGACTCCCGCCTCAGTCTCCAGGAAGCTCCAGAGGACTCTGCTGTGATGGAGGGTGCTGATCTTTTTACTGCCGTTTTGGTTTTGGTTTTTGACAGAGTCCGATATGTAGCCTTGTAGACCAGACTGGCCTCCAGCTCGCAGAGACCTACTTCCCTCTGCTTCCCATGTGCCAGGATTACAGGTGTGCACCACCACACTGTGCACACTCAGTTGGATCTTGTTTTTCAATATATTTTGAAATTTAAAAAAATTATAAAATAATTCACAAAAGTGCTAAGTTTTAGTCAAGAGAGTTTATTTGGGGGCAGCAGACCTCATGGAAATTATTATAAGTCAATTTTCAAATAATCCACAAGTCCGTATTTTACTGTGTTGTTTGTTTGATGAGGCAGGGTGTCATGTATGCTGTCCTCGAACTTGACTTGTGCTGAGGATAACCTTGGACTCCTGCTGCTCTTCTTGTCTCCACCTCCTAAGTGCTGGGATTATAGGCCTGCACCACCATGCCTAACTTAAGTGTATTCTTTTGATTGGGGTAATGCTGTCCTATCTTAGTCTATGTGGGCTGCTATTAAAATATAGTCAGCTGGGGAGCTTATGAACAGTAAAAACTTCTTGTTTTCAGTCCTGGAGGCTGTGAAGTCCACGATCAAGGTATCAACAGGCTGGTGTCCAGTGAGTCCTGTATCCCCATAGACAGCAGCTTTTGTGGCATGACATGGAAGAGACTGAGTCTCCTTCAGGCCTCACTTTTATAAGGACACTAATCCCACTCCTCAGGGCTCTGCTCCCTTAGCTAACCACCTCCCAGTCTCCTCTCCCTTACAGTACCCCCTCTCAGGTGAGGGATTCAACCACTAACTTCTAACACCATCAGCTCTGGGTGAAGGGTTTCCAGAGACTTAATTATTCCGACCCCAGTGCTTTGTCACACCATGCAGAATTCAGAAGATGCAGTCACTTCCTAGGTGGACTTCCCAGTCTTGCTTAGCCCACTTTAAACGTCCTCATGTTTTAAATGACATTTTGTTAACTGCGATCTTAATTTATTTTCCTCTTAAAGATCCATGCAGGAGCTGGAGAGATGGCTCAGGGGTTAAGAGCACCTGCCACTAAGCAAAGGACCTGAGTTTGGGTCCCAGTTCACAACTGCCTGTAACTCCACCACCAAGAGATCGGTCCCAACACTCTCTTCTGGCCTCTACAGACACCAAAACAAATGTACACACACACAAATAAAAATAAAATAAATATTAAGAAAAGATTGCTACTAACTAATGAATGATGCATTCTTGATGTCTCAGGCCGAAATTAACTCAAGATTGAAGGAAGACCAGCTGCATGCCCCATAAGGTAGACAGAGTTGGTTGGCTGCCACCCTCACAGCAGAAGAAAAGCCAGGAAACCAGTGCCAAAGAGGTTTTTGGATTGTTGTTGTTATTGTTTGTTTTTTGAGAAAGGGTTCTCTGTGTAGTAGCTGCCCTGGAACTCGATCTGTAGAACAGGCTGGCCTCAAGCTCAGAGATCTGCCTGCCTCTGCCTCCAGAGTGCCAGGATTAAAGGCGTGTGCCACCACGCCCAGCTGCCAGAGAGTTTTATTAGTGAGAAACAATGACAAAAAAACCCAACGACCACCTCTTGTAGTTTATTTAAAAAAAAAACACACACACACACAGTGATAATTGTACAGTTCTTCCTCTGCAACAGCCACTCCCTAAGTGACCATTTTTTCTAGAAATGGATCAACAGCCACACTTTAAAACCTCTCTGATAAATATATTGCTGCACTGCATCCAGCCTGGATAGCCCTCTTCAACAAGGTATATGCTGGAGCCTGTGGAGAACAAAAGGCTGGGATGTAGCTGGGTGGGACAGTGCTTGTCTAGCGTGCATAGCACCCTGAGCTTGGTCTACAGTACTTGGTGGTGTGGGGGGCGGGGAGATAGGCAAACAGAGCAAGAGGCTTGTTCAGCAGTGGAGTGCTTGCCTAGCAAGGCCCTGGGTTCAACCCTAGCACCTAAACAACCAGCAACCAAACCACATGTGGTGTATCTGTGTTAGATGTCAAACTTAGACTCACTGGTAGGGCAGGGTTTTGGCTCCTCTGGATAGGAAACAGGATCTGAGGAATCATTTCATTTGAAACAAAAGCCATTCAGACTGCTAGAAGCATCTCTGGCCACTGGATCCCTAGGCTGTTTCTTGGGATGATAACAGAGTAGGACACAAGAACCTCACTCTGGACCAAGGCTGAGCTTGAGTGCTTTCTGTCAAGTAGCTGGCTCCCTGCCTTTTGACCTTTACTTCCAAAACTCTCTTTCTGGGAACAGAAAATTTTGGTCCCTCCACCTTTAAAACAGTCCCCAAATATCACCAGCAACAGTCTGTCCCTACCAACTCCGCATCGTGGTCCAGGCCGGTGTCATGGTGCTCAAGCTCCTCGTCTCGAAACTTCTTGATAACCTGAGAAGGAAAAGGAATTCAAGTGGAAGTAAGTCAGCACTCTAGGTCACCTGCTGCTCATCACAGTCTAGAGGTGAGGTGCACGTGCTTTTCCTATGAAAGGCCAGCGATCACTCTGCCGTTCCTGTGGGGACAGCAGCCTTGCAAGAGTAAACCATGGGTGTGGCTCCAATAAGACTTGTTTATGAAACAAGCTTGGCCAGCAGGCTGGTGACTGCCAACAGTTGGTTTAGGTTTTTAAAAACTTAGAGTTGTGGCCTATCTTGGACACTGTTCTACTGCTGTGAAGAGACACTCTTGTGAAAGAAAGCATTTAATTGGAGGCTGGCTTACAGTTTCAGAGGTTCCTCCATTATCAGCATGGCAGGGAGCATGGCGACACCTAGGGTGCTGAAGGAGTAGCTGAGAGCTATATCCTGATCTGCAGGCCAAGAGAGAGACTCTGGGCCTGGCTTGAACTTTTGAAATCTTAAAGTCCACTGCCAGCTAAACACTTCCTCCAACAAGGTTACATCTCCTAATCCTCCTAATCCTACTCAAATAATGCCACTGCCTGATGAGCATTCAAATATATGAGCCTGTGAGAGCCATTCTCATTCACACCACCACATAGCCAAATACAGTGATGCACACTTACAACTCCAGCACTTGGAAGGCAGAAGCAAAACAAACAAAATTCAAACAAAAAAACTACTGGGGATAGAGGGATGGTGCTGAGGCAGGGGGATCCCTTGTACCCACTGATCCAAGACCAGCCTGGGCTAATTTTCCAGTAGAAAATTACCTGAGGTACTCCAGCATTTCAGTCACTCATTTTTTAAATTTTATTTTTGAAATTATAATTTAATTACAGCATCTCTCCCTTCCCTTTACCACCTCCAAGCCTTCCCATATGCCCCTCCCCAATGTTCTCCTTCAAATTTATGGCCTCTTCTTTCACTAATTGTTATTGCATGTATATATGTGCTTGTATGTACATATTTAAATATAACCTGCTGGGTCTACATAATGCTACCTGTATGCATGTTTCCAGGCCTGACCTTTTGGCACCAGACAACCGATGTGTGTGCTCTTCCCTAGAGAAGGCCACCTCTCTTGTCTCAGCTTCCCTCCATTGCCTATGGTTCTGTGTAGATTGAGGCCTCATGGACTTTTCTCTGTCCAGCTTAGCATGTTAGCTGGTATCTTCTGTGTACAGCCCATGTGTTGAGTCACAGACGTGCAGAGGACACACAGACACAGACTCAGGAAACATCAGTTCTGGGCTTCCCTGTGCCGGAGCCCTGTGGCCTCTCTGTCTCATCTAGATGAGGACTCACTCTCCCCCCCCCCCTCCCCAGTCTTGCCTCCCTAGCACCCTTACCTCTTTCTCCTCACTACCTGTCACCTGCCCTTTCTCCCCTCAAGCACAGCACAGTCAGTCACCTGCAGCAGCTCCTCATACTTCTCAGGGTCCTCCTCCATCAGCGTGCGGATCTGGTTGTTGTAGTGGTGAGCAATGGACTCTTCTACTGCCACAGTGCAGGCCATTGCTCCTTCCTTTCCCAGCAAGGCAGTTCCTGCCCCTGCAATCATCAAGCAAGGTCAAGCATGAGCCACATACTGATGGTCAAGGACATCTGTGAGGCTTCCTGACATCTGGGCTGGTAGGGTTATTGCACACATATAATATATATAGATATATATCATAATTATTCATTAATTCTTTAGCAATTTCACATCACACACCCCAATCTCACTCCCCTCCCAGCCCCTCCATATCTACCCCTCACCCCTGCAGCATCACCCCACAAAAGAACTCCCCCAAATTAATTCAAAACAAAACAAAAAATTCAAGAACCACATTGGTTCTCTGTCTTTTCAGCCTCTCCAACACCTTTTCATTTGTCCTAGTGTCACTGGGAGCTGCAGTTTGTCACCCAGTATACCCTTTTGTCCAATCAGCCCCACCCACAAAAGCTCATTGCAATGAGTCACCTGTCTGGTTCAAGGCCTCTGGCCTATGGCACATAATCATCATTAGACCCTCACCAAAACTACAAAGCATCCTGCTATTGTCCTGAGTCATGGAGATCCTAACTACGGTTGTTGTTTGCAGGACCAGCCCCTTCACACACTCCGGCAGGTGAAGATGGAGAAGATGCTAACTCAGGTCCCAGGGTGTAGGCCTGAGAAGTAGCTGAGCTAGTCAGTCTGTACCCTGGGACTGTCCCCTCCCTCAGTCAAGGGGTGAAGCCAGCTCTCCCACACCTGTGGTGAGGAGCGAGGCCATCTCTCCCAGTACCGTTAGTTGTGTGTGTGTGTGGGGGGGGTGTTCTCATGAGTGTCAGGACCAGCTCTCCTGATGCAGTGTCCAGAGAGGGGCAGGACTAGCTATCCCCAGGCCAGTGAAGGGCAAGGCCGGCTCAGCAAGGCCCTCGGATTTCAACACACAAGGTTTCTATGGCCCTACATCTGGGGATGTTTAACGAGTTGTCAGTGGTACCTGCTAAGCATAACTACTGAACATTTAGATATTCCCATGAATGCTCTGAAACAGTCACTCCATGTTAGGAAGTAGTTCGAGCTCGTTATTAGATGTCAGTCACAAAGTTCTTTTGAATGCATTTTTCTGTTTTATTTGGTTGGTTTGATTGGTTTTGCCTTTTTGAGACAAGGCCTCACTATGAAACCCAAGTTTCCCTGGAACTTACTGTGCAACCAGGCTGGCTCATATTCTCCACCCCCTGCCTCTGCCACCTGAGTCAGGCTCAATGAGCCTTGGCCCTGCTGCTAGGAGCTGAGAGTGCTACCCTAGGTTCTTTGTTCTTCTTCCTTTTTTTTTCCCTTAGGGGTGGGGGCTCAAGACAGGGTTTCTCTGTGTAGCCCTAGCTGTCCTGGAACTTGCCCTTTAGACCAGGCTGGCCTTGAATTCAGAGATCTGCCTGCCTCTGCCTCCAGAGTTCTGGGATTAAAGGGGTGAGTGACCACGCCCAGCACTCAAGCTACTCTCAGGTTAGCATCACCAGGAGTCACTATCTGGCTATGACTACATTATCTACCTTCCCTCTGTGTGTATCATACTTTCTATTTATGAAAGTGACGAGTCTATCTTAAAGTCATATAAGCAAAAACAGTTCAATCAGCTTCAATTTAAGTTTAGGAAAACGCTAAGTAAATAAAAAAGGTTGGATGAGGGCATGACAAGAGTTACAGAGGCATGAACAACCAATCCATCACCAACAGCCCAAGTGGCTCCTGGACAGACACTTACCCAGTGCAAAGCCTGCCACATTCCACAAGGGCATCAGAATTGTAGGTCGGACCCTGAACGCAACCATCAGCTCATTGAACTTTTTCAAATGGTCCTTCTCTTGATCCCACATTTTCTGGAAAAATAAAATAAAAAAAACTAAAAAACAAAACAAAACAAAAAGAGGCGAGCATTACAGGGGCCTCTTCCTATACCCTGAGGACTTGCTATGGCTGAGCACACAGGAGGCAATAAGGAAATTTATAATGATGAGAACTTGAGTCATCCATCCCTTACGTATCCATAAGACAAAAGCAAATCTCTCAAAAAAGAAAAGAGCCTGCAAGGCAAAGGAAGAACTGAAGCTGGATCTCAGACACAGCCAAGAGCTCCACTGCCACCTTCCAGACCCACACACCTCAGTGTCCAGGCTCCATATTTGTGTGCAAGATGCTGACCCCATTCAGAATTGGGAGGGCAAAAAGTCCGTCATGGTGTAATTTCCTTCTAGACCTGACACAAAGGATGGGGACAGAAGGACAAGAGCAGCTAAGGTAGGCCAGTCAATGATTGATGGTGAGATGCCATCAACACGGCTTTGGAGGCTACTCCTGTCATCCACGCTATGCCTCGTTACCCCTGAGACTCACAGCACAGTCAGCTTGCAATGAACTCTCTGGAACCCCAGGTTCTGAGCCATCAGTTCAAGCAACCACAGGTGAAAACAGTAGAAAAGAACTGTCCTGAGAACACGCAGACTGTTCTCTCTGGGAAACAGAACCCCAAGTGTGTGGTATTCTCTGGCATGGGGGACTTTCAGTAGCCTTGACATGCTTCAAGGCAGAGGCGCAGGGGCTACATGCAGATGTACACCATCTTACACATGGAATGAGCTCTGGGGACAGGGATGTTTGTGGTGAACCTGAAGGGACAACATGCTAAGCTACCACATGCTAGGCAGGGTGGCAATAGTTCCATATGAGCTTGTTTATTCCCCAACCAAACCCAATGAGTTAGGGGTTTTACAGGCTAATTTACACACAGGGAAATGGAAATCTAAAAGTTATGTGACCTCTTCAAGGTTGCAGAAGGTGAGAGAGCTGGAAAGGAAACCTGGATCTTTGGGACTATAAACCCCTCTCTCTGGCACTCTGTGCTAGGACAAGCCTACAATAACCTGGCACGAGGAACATGCCCCCAGTGAAGGGATTTTCAATCTCTGATGCCACAAAACATTTACACCACAAATACACTCAATTTCTACACCCTATTTCTTTCTCTCTTTTACATTTCCTCTCTACCCTTTCTTTCTTTCTGACCCAAGACTTCCTACGTAGACCAGGCTGGCCTCAAACTCACAGAGAGCTAGCTGCCTCTACCTCCCAAGTGCTGGGACTAAAGGCATGCAAGACCAAACCCAGCCATATTCAATTTATATATGTGCTTTTACATAAACAGAACATGCTCTCTTTGTTTCCCTGCACCTCCCTTTGGGACCGACAGGCAAGTGGTTAGCACAGGCTTCACATTCATTGCCAGTGCAATAGACCAAGTTGAGACTTAGGGAAGAACCCACCTGAATGACAGGGCCAACACTGGACCGGCCCAGCACAGCCATCTGCCCTGCATAGATTCGGTTTGCTCCATATTCACCAGCATGATCCACCCGGATTATTCGATCCACGGCTGCCCGGTTAATATTGTCTAAGGTCATTCCTGAACTGTGAAACCTGACAATGCCTCTTCCATAGTCTGCAATGAAAATGCAAGTAACAGTCCTTCATTATCCACACAGAATATTGATGGTCTTTTATTCTAAAAATAAAAAAATTGTGTGTGTGTGTGTGTGTGTGTGTGTGCGTTGATGTGCATGTGGCAGTCAGAAGACAACTTGCAGGGATCAGTTCTCTCCTTCTTCCATATGGGGCCCAGGTACAGAACTCAGGCCTTTATGCTTGGCAGCAAGCACCTTTATGCACTGAGCCATCTCCTGTCTCCTTTTGCAGACAGAATGAAAGACATTTTAGAACCAAGGCCATAAACAAGTCCCAAGGGCTGGACATGTCTATCAACACATTCTTTGTCATCTGCGATGCACAAACCCAAAAGATTTCACCTAAGGAGTAGGATTTTGGGCTTCACTTTACACATATGGCCACCTGGAAAGGTCAAAGCCTGTCCTCACCAGACAGCTCACGTGACAGCTGCTCTGGGAAAGGCTCTCCCCTCCCAAGGTGTACAGCAGAAGCCCGTGGAGCCATGATGCTCTTCCCCAGTCTCCCTGGGAAGAAGACCCTTGCTGATAACCTGAAAAGGTTTAGGGTGCAAAGTCTGGCAGCCCAGGTGGGGACCTAGAAGTTCTTTTAACACACCGGTTCCATGGACAGCTGACTTGAGACCCAGTCTGACAGCTTAAGTTTGACCTCAAACTAAACTCCATTTTAAATGTAAATTCTTTTGAGGAACCCGGATGGCAAACACTTCCTTTATACTCTCCAAGCCCTAGATGAGAGGATCTCAGATGTTCACCCCTGAACGTCTTTGTAGTAAGGTGTGTTCACAGGTCCCTCAGAAACCACAGGTCCTCTGACTTGTCACTCTAGCTGCAGCCTACATTGGCATTACTTAAAGTGTCACAGGCTCTTTGTGTGTTATGACTACCAGGTCTTTGGAAGATGCTTCTTTTCACTTTGGTTAACTCTACATCTAGAAAGCAGGTGAAAAGGCTCATCTGGGACACATCTTTGGCTCTTCCATTAAGAAGGCCTAAGGTCTTCAGATAAAAGGCCATGGGTGAGTCTGGCATGTATGAGTCAGAGTCCTGAATATGAACTTTGCTATCAAGTAGAATTTGAAATGTTGTACTTTTATTATGATACTGGAGATCAAGCCCAGGGCCTGATGCATTCAGGGGGAAATAACCTACCACAGAGCTGTCTTTGCAGTCCTGGGACAAACAACACACTGTGTGTGCAAAGGAGGATGAATTCTGCAGGAGCGGAACTAGCGTTGGTCTACTGTACATGACATGCTCTGCCTCTCGCAGCACACTGACTCCAGAAACGGAACAGAGTCCAAGAAGCAAACCCAGAACCCCTCGGTCTTCTGCCAGGTGTAAGGCACCACTCCTGACTGTCTTCAGAAGCTGGGTTGCTACGGGCTGTGGCCTATGTTTTATGGGAGAACAATGGGACACAACCAGTGACCTGCTGTGTTTCTGTGTTCAAGCTCAAGGGCCTGTGCTTCTAGCCAGGTTGTCTCATTGAAGAAAGTTGGGTCTGCAGACAGAAATGGTGAGATGGCTCCACTTCTCAACACAATCTTGTTTGCCTATTCTCTTGCTTGTTAGCAAAGAAAGAGGCAACACTTTTAAAACGTTACTGAGAAACAGCAAGGGCCAAGTTCATATGGCTGGCTTTTGAGGTGTGATGAATGGGATTGTGTTTTTACTGGGAACATACTGCACTGCTCCCTAAAATCCCACCTCTCATCTAGATTCAGGCACTCAATAATGACAAAGAGGATCATGAAGGCTGTGTTTGTCCTTTTATCTAACCAAATCCGTATAGGTATTTCTTATCTATAAAATCCCCAGTCAATTCCAGCATCAGGAGGCAGAGGCAGGCAGAGCTCTGCGAGTTTGAGGACAGCCTGTGAGACAGCAAGTTCCAGGTCAGCCAGAGCTACAGAGTGAGATGCTGTCTCAAAGTCAAAATAAAAACCTCCCCAATATCAAGGCTTATTTTCTTTCTAAAGGAGAAACACACTTAAGATATTTTATTATCATGAGGCTAAATGAGACAAAGGAAGCCGTGACTTCATAAACGAAAACAAATGGTTCTATGTAGCCTTGGCTGTCCTGAAAACTCGCTCTGTAGACCAGGCTGGCCTCAAACTCCTGGAGATCCGCCTGCCTCTGCCTCCCGAGTGCTGGGATTAAAGGTGTGCACTACCACTACTCGGCCTGTTTGCAAATTTAAGATGTGTTTTCAGGGGCTTCTCAGATGATGCGATTCAGACCTGAATCCAGAACTACCTCTCTCCATTCCGAATTTAACCTTTCTATTTTGCAATGCAAAGTCTCATGCGGAGCTTGAGAAAAATACTGACACCAAGGCTGGAAAGAGGGATCAGCAGTTAAGGAGTGTGTACTGCATTTGCAGAGGACTTGAGCTGGGTTTCCAGCAGCAACACACAGCGGGGCTCACAAACTGCTTGTTATCTTGATTCAAACCTCGCTTCTGGCTCCTCTGGCACTTGACTTTGTACACACAAGCGCTCACACAATCCTAATTTTATAAAATCTAAAAAAGAAACACATAACCCAAGTAGATAATGAGCGGGACCCGAAAATCTGCATTTCTAACAGGTTAACGCTGCCGACAGAAGTCCCGGTGGAGACTACAATGATAATGCAGGACACTCAAATTCCAAGTCTGCACTTCACAAGCTGGTAATCACTCGGTCCCCCAGCGAATCCTGCGATAGTCCGCCTGTTCCCGTCAATCACCTCGACGTGTTCGGCAAACCCCACCCCACGTCGCGCGCCTGTGACGCAACGAACGTCTCCCCCGTGACACCCGTGACCTCCCCTTCACATATTCCCCGGCATGGTACCCTGCGCCGGACCACGACCGCGAGCGGCGGGTACCTGAGAAGGGCCTCCGGACGCCAGTGCGCAGGCGCCGCAGGGAAGCAGCCGCTATCGCCCTCGCGCTGCTCATTGCCGGTGACAACGCAACCACGGCCCCAGCGCCCGGGCCAATTGTGCTGTCGGCTCAGGGTGATGATGCATAGGTGAGGCGGGCCGGAGTCAGAGGAAACGCCCTAGACCCAGGATTCCACCCGATTGGCTGGAAATGACCGATGCTAGAAGACGTATTGGATGAGCTCCCTGTCGATCATTTTGACGTCATAAAGGGTCCCCTGGCTGCTTTTTATAGGTGAGGATGCGGAGTTTCCCTGCAGAAGCAACCCAGGTGCCACTCCTAGGTTACTGGTGGAGCCTTTGTTTCCTTGGCTTCACGGAGATTATTTTTCTCTATTTGCAGCCTCTCTCTACCTAAAAATCAATAGAAATTACCTGCTAAAACACTCCAGTGTTTGGTGTAATTTGTGGGCCTGGCAGTTCATTTCACAGTATTTCCTGTCCCTTCTTAACCAATTTCCGTATTGAGATTTGTTTCATACATTGTTCTTAATACTTTACTGGATTATTCCTGGCCGTGTGTATTGGTGCATATCAGTAATGAAGATGGCTGTGTGTTGAGGAAAGGAAAATTTAGCAACATTAAACTTCTAAAAGTGGATATCTATTAATATGACAGCTAGGGTCTACATTTTCAAGGAAGTAATGTATGTGAAGACAAAAAAAAATGCCTATAAGGATATACATCAGTCATCGTAGGTTCCGCCAGAGGCTGTGGCTTTAAGGGAGCTTCAGTTTTCACTCTTATTTATATATATTTGATGCATAGCTACAAAATAATTGAAGCTACTAAGCTATTCTATATAACTGTAGTGTTTAAATTAGTATACTACAGTAACTTAAGATGAACCCAAGTACGTGTTCAAATTAGTATGCAAAGTAACTTAAAATTAAGATGAATCCAAGTACTCAACATTAGCAGCAGTGAGGCTGTGTAATGCTCAGCTTAAATCTGTCACCCCCAAACCTTCACATGTTCCCTCTCAATAAATCTCTTGACTGAGGTCTGGGGGAGACTTTACTTTGCCAGAATGGAGTGGAGGAGAGAAGTAACAACTTTTTGCCGGAGCCAGTGCAGGGCTGTAACTCTTTCGCTGGGGAAACCTGCACCTAGCAAAGCATAAGCTGCTATGCTTACTGTGACCTATGGTATTCTTTGGCTCCAGAGTGCCAGAATACCTTTCCATCCAAACCACAATGCTTACAAGATATGATCGGGTCACTCAGGCTTGCCTTAAATGGTGATATGGCTGCTTCAGCCTCCCGAACTCACATGTGTGTGTCAGTACAATGGGCTGTGAAAGAAATTTGGATAAATGATAGAACATTTAAGTGGGAAAAGTGAGAATACTATAATTTCTTTCCTTCTTCCCTCCCTCCATCTGTGCTTTATTTGATTTTGGTTATGAGACAACAGTCTCACCCTGTATCTAGGTGTCTGGAACTTGCTGTGTAGTCCAGGCTGGCCTTGAAGTCTTTGCAGTCTACCTGCCTCAGCCTCAATGGTGCCTATGTACTTCATTAAAAAACACAACAAGCCGGGCGGTGGTGGCGCTCGCCTTTAATCCCAGCACTCAGGAGACAGAGGCAGGGGATCTCTGAGTTCGAGACCAAGCCTAGTCTAGCGATCGAGTTCCAGGACAGGCTCCAAAACAATACAGAGAAACCCTGTCTCAAAAAACAAAACAAACAAACAAAAAAACAGTTGTGTGCTTAAGAATAATTTGTTTTTTTCTCTATAGTTTTCAATGGTTTCATATTATGATGAGTACTTGTACTTCTATGTTTCCAAAAGGGAACAAAGAGTATGTGCTTCTCTAATCAAATCCTGAAATATAAAAGAAATTTGTCTTATTTTTGTATCTTAAATGCAAAGGAACTGTCCCAGCAAGTGAAGACATTTGTTCACAGTCACACAGCAAACCGTACATCCCATGTTCCCAGTACTTATCACACGCTGGTCAGGCTTCTGGCAAAGCCACACACTACAGAGTGAAGATGTGTTCAGAAGTTCTCACAGGGGTCAGACCTGGTGCCACCATGGAAAAAAATGAATTCTTTTGTTTCTAAATACTTAGCCTAAGTGGCTAGCTGATTTTTAGCTGTGAGACTTACTTGCAAACTTAAGAATTCATGCAAACCAAAAACCTGTCTAACTGGATTCTCCTCTTTACTGGGATGAGAACATTTTGTGACTGCAAGAACCTGCAAGTCTGCTGGAAGGAAGGGAGGAAAGAAGGAAGGAAAAAAAGAACAGAACAAACAAGAGCCTACAGAAGAAGAGGATAAAATGGAAATGTTTGGAGAGGTTTTTAAAGTTCAGTCTTTCAGGGTTTGTACAAGGGAAGAATGACAAAAACCCACTTCAAGTACCCATTAGTGGTTGCATGGTTACAGGAAATGTGTATTGCTGCTTTGGAATGCCATTAAAAAGAAGGATGAAGTTATTTGCACAGAACTTCAAGATATTATTCAGGAGAAATTCAGAAATATGTATTCACAACACATACACAAAACATGTATCTATTCTGATATTTATTATATCTTTATAGAACAAAATAAACACTAACAGTGCTTTCCAATGGTGCTAAGATACAAAATGCTTTAAAATATCTTTGCTTTTGAAATTTAAAATACACAGACATGCTTTTCTTTGGCTTCAGGAAAGCCAAGAAGTGATAAAACTCATCTAATACATCCATAAAATGTCAAAATGATACCTTCTCTAACTTCAGTGAGAAGAGCAATGTTACAGAGTATTGCAGTTTTCCTCATCACCTGATTCTTGACAACGAGCTCTGTGAGTTCATGTACACAGAATCACACTTTAAAACTTCCAAGACACTGTGTAATCAGTAGTTTAGCCACACTTTAAGAACAATACCGACACCACCTGGTTATTAAAGTTATCAAACATTCAAGTAAGAGGGATGCATATTAGCAGCATTAACTAAAACTAACATACTAGTTGGTATATTTTGGTAGCTGTTTAATAACAAAGAAAACAGCATATTGTTCATTTTATTAACCATTTGTACAAACAGGAAAGTAAATAATCTTCAGGGGCATGGTGAGTGACAAGAATATTATATGAAGGCACTAGGTAGGCATAAAGGTCAACAATTAGAATTTATAAAATGAGGATGGAATGAACTTTGGTTTATTCAAAATTCCTGTTGTTAGGTTTAAAAACTCATAGATCTTCAAATACAAGAAAGGGTTAGGAAATGTACATTCTGACAGTTATAAAAATCCCATGTTAATACAACCTCATGGAAGATCAAAGAAATTATTGTGTTGGGCTTGAGCATATGAGTTCCATACACACACACACACACACACACACACACACACAGGACCCTTTACACACATACAGATGTGTTAGCCATGACAAGTTTGCTTTGCTTCCAGAGCAAGAAGCCAATCATTTTTAAGAAACAAGGTAGTGGTCAGAGGAGGAAAATCCTTCTTGGCAGCTTTCTAAAACATAAATCTAATTTTAAATGTCAGGAAAGGTTAGCAGCCAGTGAAAAACAGTAGAAAACTCAAACTGTCTGTCACAGGACTGCAGCACTCTGACAAAAACTTTAAAGTGAAAGCAGATCAAACTAGACATTATTAAAAGGGTCAGCTTTGGGGAGGTATATGGCAAGGTATTTATTAAATACAGTTTTTACTGTTAGTGGAGATCTCAAGAGATACTGTTTTGTAATGTTTTATAAAAACAAAGGTACACACATCAAGTGCAGGCAAACAAAACCTAGTCCTTTGAGATGTGTGTTTAAGCAATCAGAACCCAAACTATGTTTGTATTATGGGATGTTCTTACAAATAGGCTAGGCCATGGATCTACATCTGATATCACCCATATAACCCACAGCTTCGATACCAAACAGCACATTATAGCCTGGCTCTGAAACATTTGGTGTCCTTCAGGAATGAAGAGCTCTGCAAGGAAGAGTAATGCCACTTGGAAAACAGCTCTCCAAGCCCTTTTCTGCAGCCTTGTCATTCCTCAAGGGAAAGTGACCTTAGCTGACTGGTTAGCCACCAACCTTTTCTTTCCACCTGGCTCCAAGTTCTAAGATTTGGTGACAGAATTGAAAAAGGGTAAAACCTGTAAGGTGGGCAGACAGTTCCTCTGTTTTCCAAATGGCTTGCAACCTGCCCCAGTACCCTGCTTAACAGCTGACACCGATAGGAGCAGAAATTCAAGTGTGATCCAGGCACAAGGCAGGGGCTACCATGATGGTCTCTCCCCGTTCTTATCAGCTGCCCCAAGCCTTTAGCACCTGAAGATGCATGTTCGTTTGAAAAAATAAGAAGTCAGGTTTCAATTTTAAGTCACCAGTGGCATTTGAGAGAGCATTCCCTCAGCTTGGAAAAACTTCCAAAGAGACCACCCAACTTTGGAGGAACTCAGTTTTACTTGGAAAAACAACACACACAAACCTTTAAATACTACAAAAGTTTAAACAAAAAATAAATAACAGTCTCCCTCTCTGATTTCAATTATAAAGCCTGAACAACTCGAGAAGTTAGTGGTTTGGTAGAATCCTCAGCGAGCCAAGGCTCTCCACGAGTCAGCCTGCTTGGCTAAGTCACTTAAAGCTCTCAAGTCTAGAAAGATGCATTTTAACATTTCCACTCAAAGCCCAGCTGGACTTTGTAGGGTCGTCAGACTCCTTCCGTTGCTGAGAAGTTGCCAGTCAGCATCTTCACGCTCAGGCATGCTGGCTCCGCACATCCCTTTGAGCTTCTGTCAGTTTCTGGATGAGATAACGCTTGTCACGGCTCTCCTAAATAAGAGAAGCAGGTTCAGATTCCATCTCATGCTTAGAAATGTCTGAAGCTATGTCTATTAAATGAGTTTCTACTCAGGCTCAAGGTAAGGGATTCCAGACATTGGATTGCCACAGTGATTTCCAGTCTGGCCTGTCTCCATCACTGGAGTCCCCACCACAGCCCCTTGTCCACATTGTAGCTGGAGATCTTCTAGAAATGTTCATGGGGACTGAGTGTCTGGCATGCACACAGCCCTGCATTCCACCCCCAGCACTGTATAAATTGGATGTGGTGGGGTCCATGTCTGTAACCCCAACCCTTAGGAGGTAGATGTAGGAAGATCAAAAGTTCAAGGTCATCCTTGACTACATACTAAGATTGGAACCAGCCTGGGCTACATAGACCCAGTCTCAGACAGATAATATAACCCAAATACTTAATAAAGCCCAAACCTCCTATCAGTCCGCCAGGCAATGCAATGACCTCTAATGTCAAGAAATGTCAAAAAATCATCTTGCTGGCCCCATCTGTCACAGCCCTCCAGCCACACACCCCCATTCTTTTGTTTCCCCAAAGTACCTGGCTTATTCCCACACTAGGTCCTCCCACCCCACTAAGGACCTCTAATAACTGGCTACTGCCATCATTCCCATCTCACCTCTGACTTCCTTCAACAGACCTTCCACATCTGCTGGCTGAAGTAGCCTTGGCCCCTCCATCACCCCACCTACCTAGTTTTTATGATCTTCACAGAAATCAGTTTTCAGAATTCATTTCGTTGTGTGTGCCTGCCCTTGAGATGGTGCGTGTTCATGTGGGGGTGGGGGAGCATGTGTGCATGTATGTGGACATTCATGTGGCAGCCAGAAGTCAAACTCGGAAGTCACCCTCAGGTACCTACCATTTCTCAAGTAGGGTTGGGGAGGTGGGAGTGGTGTTTGTTCTTAAAATTCTTTTGAGATTTGTCTATTTTATGTGCATCAGGGTTTTGCCTAAACGTATGCATGTGCACCTCGTGCATATCTGGTGCCTGCAGTGTCAAACCAGGGTGTCAGATACCCCAGAATTGGAGTTGTGCATGATTGGAAGTCACCATATGGGTGCTAAGAATTGAACCCGGGTCCTCTGCAAGAGCAATGAGTGCTCTTAACCCCTGTCCACCATTTTTTGGAGACAAAATTTCTTAATTAGACCAGCAACTTGCCTGTAGGATAGACTTCCTGGCCAGTCAGCCTACAGATCCACCTGATTTGCTTCCTTGGTGCTGGGAATACAAATGCAGGCCATGGTGCCTGCCTTTCACACGGACGCTGGGGTTGAACTCAGGCCCTCATGCTTGTGCAGCCGCCTTTACACGCTCAACTATCTCCCCATTCCACATGTATCGCTTCTCTAACACTCTAGTGCTTCTGTCTGCCTAGCGTAGCACTGGGTGAGCCAGTGGATGAATGAGACCAGATAGGGCTGTTTTATTTCCCCCCTTTCTTTAATTGAAACAAGTCTTGCTGGTATAGAACTCACTATGTAGACCGGGCATATATGGAACTTGCAACCTTCCTGCCTCAGCCTCCTGAGTGCTAGGATTCTAGGCCTGGGCCATCATGCCCAGAGTCCTAGGTTCACATCCCCGGCCATGACCCTCTGGGTCTGTGCTTCCTTACCAGGAACAGCTGCTCTCGGAGCTGGACAACCACCCGCTTGTGTGCTCCAGCCAATGCAATGAAGTAGAACATGACAAGGCTGCAAGACAAGGCAGGCAGGTCATAAGGGAGCCTGTGTAATCAGCCTGTGCTAATAATAAAGTTACTGATGCTCCTGTCCTGATGCTGGGAATGACAAAGCAAGAAGAGGAAAAGTCAAAGTCAGTTAAGGGTGTCAGAAACTGGCTGGGATGCTCACTTGGCAGGTACTCTGGCCTCCGTTTCCTCATCTGTGAGACGGGTAAAGGAAAACTCAGTGACAAGCTTAGGACTAAAAGCCATTAAAAGCTTCCAGTCTGCAGCTCTGGGTCTCAGAAGGGGTCAAGTTACGGTGGGACAGAGGGCAAGCCCCCATTTCATGGAGAAGCCAATCTCACCTCATTCCTGCCTAATGTCCCCAGACAGGGCTGATAAATGAGGAGCAAATAACCAGGAGATATAGAGATCCCCTAAGTCTCTTCAAGCCACAGGCCTCTAAGGACAGCAAAGGCAGAGTAGATGTCTACCACCAGGGGGCACTGGGTGAACTATTAACCCATTGCTGCTGGGACACAGCTTCTTGGGAAGTCCAGGTCACCTAGCTGAGCATCTCTAAATCATTTTATTAATCTCAGCAAGGAATAGGATTCCTCTTTTCATGAGGATTTTTTTAAGCTACTTCCTACAGTGGGCTTTTACTGGACTAGTCATGTCATAGGATAAGAGTGATTTGTAAGTTAAGGTGTGGAAGGTACAGTTGGTTTCAGGTAATTGTAACTTAGACATGGTAGAGACAGGGTTCAAGGACAAGCAGCTCTCTAGTGCTCTTCCACTGCCTACTGATCCATTTTTCTTTACATAGAGTGTGAGATTTAGGCAAACCACGAGTGATGTTAGGAATAAGTCATGTTTACTGTGTTTTTATAAGCAGGCACAAGGGGCTCAGGTCTTAAGTGTGTAAACTTTCTGAGTATCATCAACATTCCCCTGAAAGATTGAATGTTATTATGTCATTTTAAGACTGGAAAGTGAGGCTCAGAGAAGATAGGTAACTTGTCAAGCCTAGCACATGACAGTCTGGGGCATTCCCAAAGGCCCATATGCTAAAAAGTATAACTCCCAGGAAGTGGTGCTATTAGGAGATGGGGCCTAGTCAGAGGAAGGTAGGTCACTGGGGTATGGACTTGAAGGGGATATTGAAACCCAGGTCCTTCCCTCTTTCTTTGTCTCCCAGTGGACATGAAGTGAACAGGCTTCCTCTACCATGAGCTCCCACTGAAGGGACTCTGGCCAGCTCGAGTGTGGTGAGAGTGCCTCTGGCAGGCCTTGCCCTTCTCTCCCATGCTAAAAACTGTTAGATTACGTTTCTAAAGCCAGCCACCAAGGTCTATTCCCTTAGTAGGCCACTTCTTCCTCCTCAGGCTAATTACCAAGGTCCAGTCATCAAGGTATTGAAATCCAGCAATCAAAAGCCACCTTTGGCTCACCTAATTAATATGCCCAATTAAAATTAAACACCTCTTTCCCCCACCCCTGCCCATCAACACCTGAGGCGGGTGGAAGAGCTGGCCCTGAGGTCAGAAGGGCGGGAGAGCTGCCGCTGCCTCCCACCAGCAGCAACACTCGGGAGAGCAGGCCCTGCACCTCAAGTGGGCAGCACAACGGAGCCAACCCCATTGGCAGATGTGTGGGCCAGCCCTGATCCTGTGAGCATGGAAGAGCAGTCCCCATCACTAGCCTGTCAGGTGACAGCATAGGAAGAACAGAGATGTCCCCCTTGCTGCCCATCAATGCCTGAGGCGGGTGGGAGAGCTGGCCCCACCCTCATCAGCTGCAGCACTGGGGAGTGTGGCCCCTATGCCACACCTGAGCAACACAGCAGAGCTGACCCTGAGAACATAAAAGCAGAACTGGCCCCACCCCTTGCTCAGTGCTGCAAAGGGTGAACTACCCTGAACAATGCGGGAGAGCTCATCCTGGTGGTGAGGACAGGGAGAGCTGGCAGGCTGACCAACCCTGCAACTAACTACCCAGGCCCAGAACCCGGGTTATGGGTTTGGCCCACCCCAACATCCACCCCATCTGTGATCTGCTGGAGCAAGTAAAGGGACTGCTCCTGCAGACCCAAAGCCGCAGGATTCCCACAACACAGGGCAACAGCAGGATAACCAAGAGGAGTTCCAGTTAGGGCTCAGCATCAATAGTGTAGCAGAAACCAGAGGCCCCTAACCAGACCAATGACTCTGCAATGAACACTTGCAAGTAAAGACGTATGGATAAAAGGTTTTACTGAGTGATTCACTGTGTCACGCTATATCTTCCATGATGAGATTGATTTTTTTTCCTTCTCTCTCTTTTTTCTTTTTTTCTCTTAGGTTTTATTTTAGTTTGGGGGGGAGGGAGGCTGCAAGGGGAGAGGGTGGATACTAAGGGACAGGGAAATGAGTGGGATGGAGATGTGTGCTGCGAAAGACACAGAGGATAAATAAAAAGAAGGAAAAATAATAAACATTAAACATCTCATCCTAACACGGAGGTCTCCCCTTTTTCCTTTATAAACCACCATTTTCCTGTGGACCATGTCTGCCTCCTCTCTATCCAGAGGTAGTCCTTTGTCCCCTGCTCCCTTGTTCTCTTCCCCTCTTCCCTCATCCTCTGTCTCTTGTCTTTGTCCCTTATCCATGCCCGTTGTAGCTCTGGGGCAAATAAGTCTCCTTTGTGCTGAGAATCAGGTCTTGGAAGTTCATGGCTGATACTTTTCCTTTCACCTGCCATGCTACACTAGGCCACTACAGGCCCAAAGGCAACAGGGTCAAGTGGCCATGGAACACAGCATCTGAAACCCCAAGCTGGGATAAAGTTCTCCTCCTTCTAAATTGATTCTCCTGGTATTCTGTCACAGTACAGAAAGCATCCGAACACACATCCATCTCCCAAGTGGGAGGAGACAGACTGCTCTGGTCTGGCTGCCACTCACCAGATGATCATGAAGAAAGGCACCGCGAAGGCTTCCGATGTGACAGCATGGATCAGGGTCTGCAGCGAGCTGGGGAAGGTGCTCACGGTCAGGGGGATAACCTCCCAGGTGGTGTTGAAGTTGGTGAATGGCCCACAGGCTTTGGAGGAAGGGATGCTGCCAGGACAGAGAGGGAGGGAATGCAGCTGCTTGGCCTGAGAGGTCTGCTGCTGCATAGCCAGAGGGTTTATTTACAATAGCCTGCAGGGAGCTTCCGAGTCGACAAGTTTCTGGAGTATTATATTTGAAAATGCTGACCCTGAGATTCCATCAGGTCTCTAGGTCTAACTTTCAGTTTGTAGGACACATAAGGCAGAAATGTAAGCTTGATGTCACAGAAGAACATACTAAACAAATATGTATTCCCTAGTCTTTTAATTTGAAGGCAGAGAAAATGGTCAGAACTCCTTAAAAAATCAAAGGCGACTAAAGACTCGACAGCTGAGCACAGTGGGAATGACTGTCACTTTAAAATGAACCTGCGAACACTGTGTTGGGATAACTGAGAAATTTGAAAACTAGCAGGAGTAAATTAGAAGTATTTCTTCTCTCTGTGTGTGTCTGTGTGTGTGTGTGTGTGTGTGTGTACAAATGCATGTGCATATGTATGCATGTGTATTTGTGTGCACACATGTGTGCCTGTCTGTTCCTGGAGACAGAAGTTAGTATCAATGTCTTCCTTTTTTAAAGCAGGTCTTCTCAGTGAACACTGGATGTAGGGCTTGCCCTTTTGGCCAGTCTGGCTGGCCAGTGAGGGGCCTGTCTCCATTCCCCCACCTGTCTTCTGCCTGCTACCCAGCACTGGGGTTAAAAAGTAGCAAGACCAAACAAAACAAAGGAAAACCAAAAAGGTAGGTCTGGAGAAGCCAGTAGGGACTTCTATGAGCTCTATAAAAGCCCATGAAGAATGTTACAAGTTCTTGACCATAAAGGAGTTTAGAAAATGACATACTTGACCATAAAGGAGTTTAGAAAATGACATACTTACCGAGACATGCTGATTGTTAGTGGTATTATTGCTAAACAGAGCCCAATCAGCAACACCAGCAGAAAGAAGAAGTTAGAATTGGATGCTCTGAACTGCCTTGGGGAGGGTCTGCAGGTGTAAAGAAGACTCAACTATGGAACAAAAGAGAAAAGAAAAAAGTAAGACTCCTGGGTAGTAGAGTCCCACGCTGTAGTGCAACTAGGGACTGTCTATCCCTGCCAGGGCAGAGTATCACACAGATCAAAAAGAAGAATGCTCAGTGCAGATTCCAGTTGGGGAAATTCATGCTGATGACATAATAAGAAGAATGGACCAAAACACAGCGACACTACCACTACTGAACAGAGGGAACAATCCAGAAGGAGTGTTGAGAGCTAACAGTGGGGACTCCTTAAAGTGGATCTGAAAGATGTAGGGATGAGAGCCTGTAACATACCATGCAGTAGATGGAAAATGTTAAACTTCAAGACCCTGTATAGCACAAACTTGTTAAAGTTTTATTATTTTATTATTCATAGAGATTTAAATATACATAAGCGGATCTACAGTGGCCTATGCCAACAATCTTTCCTATGTGTTAAAAATTAATATTTACACTGAGGGAGAAAGACTTAAAGGAAATACCAAGGAGAAAAGGAGAAAAAGAAAAAGGCATACTATTTTGAATAAGACAAACAAACAAAACACCTGCATTTCTGGGTAGGACATGAAACTTGTCTGAATTCCATAGGAACCAGAGCAACTTGTGAGCTTAGTTCTAGGGGATACTCAGCCAGCCAGCAGGGCGGGCCCAGAGCCTGTGTCCCACAAGAGGCCAGCGACCCATTTCAGCCTCCTGGGCTTCACTACACTGCACTTGGGAACTCACTAGGCAACCAGTATTTTCCTGTGAATGTGTCCACAGTCCTGTCTCCTCTGTTAACAAGAGCTAAGTGATGTTTCCAAATGAGGACATGAGACCACCAGCCAAAGGCCAAGGCACCCAGAATAAAGTCTGGCCCAAGGCAAGGTCCCACTCACAGGGTGGGCAGTCACACTCAGCGGCAGCAAGCTACACATGACTCTAACACATGCGGAACACGCTCACTCTGTGTGACTTGGGACCAGTTAGTCCTCTGAACCTCAGCATTCTCCTTCCTAAAAAATTAGTGTCTATTCCAGGGCTGGAAATAAGCACCACAGATAGGAAGTGGGGACACTGGGGGGACACAGGCTAACAGTACTATTATTCACGTTGTCACCATCATTATTATGAATGCTATTTTTTCCATTTGTAATTGCTAGGTAATCAATAAATTTTAGACTTGGGGTGGGTATGCAGGTAAATGGCATGGTACTTGCCTAAAATGCTCAAAGTTCTGGGTTCAAGTGCCAGCACTTAAAAAATGAATTAAAAATAAATCCTAGGGTTAGTAACAAAGAATACAGGAGAAGAAGGATGGTGATTATTATTTATATGCTTGCTTTATTGTTTAATGAGTATGGGGGCTGGTGAAATGGTCAGAAGCTAACAGCATGTATTGCTTTTACAGAGGACCAGAGTTAGTTTTCAGCATCCACACCAGGCAGCTCACAATTCCGTGTAACTTATCTGAGAACCTAGCACCTCTGCCCTCCAGACATGTGTGTGCTGTGTGCAAGCGTGTTCACACATACACACACACAATTAAAAATAATAAAGATAAATCTTAAAAAGATCTGTTTCACTTAAAAAACTAATGAACATGACTTGCTTCATAATAATGAACAAACTAGTAAATCCAGGCAAGCCAGTCACCTGCAAGGCCACTTCACCCAGGTTAACACCTGATCCTGCCACAATGTATGGGGACCATGAGTTGTGCCTGTCACTAAGCCCTGAAAAGCTATGCGTTGACTCTGACGTTACAAAACAAGTCAACAAACCCTTGGCTAAATGTCACTGAAACATACCACTGTTGTTGGATCCTTATCGGAGACTCAGCTCAGTCAGTCAATCATATATAAAAACTACACTTACGTCATAGGAAGAAAGCAATTCTTAACATGCTTGAGAAAGTTGACAAACAAAACAACAACAATAAAAATGACCTGTAAGCCCAGCACTTGGGAGGACAAGGCAGGAAGATCAGGGACTTGAGGCTAGTTAGAGATACACAGCAAAAAAGAGATGAAAAGCTACTGGAAGTCTTTTCCCAGAATAAACACTTATTAAGGAAGATGTATTGCATGAGGCCCTGGGTTGGAGGGACATGTAGTTACACTGTGTCTCAAGGGCTAAGGAATGGCCTTCAAACATGTGAGTGCCTCAGATGGGGCTGGGGACACAGCTCAGTGCTATACCACTGGCCTGGCCTGCTGGAGGCACTGGGTTCCTGTCCACAGCACTGCAAAAGCAAAAGAATAGAAAGAGTGTGCAGGATGTGAGCCCCATCCCCTTTCCTACCTCTTTCACGTAAAAGATGATAACAAATTTCAAAGTGGCGACTGCAGGAAGGAGTGGGGAGAAGAAGGCTCCGATCCAGCAGATGGTCTGCCCATACACAATGCCCAGGACATTGTCCGGGATGGCAAACTCCTGCTGTCCCCAGCACTGGATCAGCTTCGAGGACGCACAGTAGGTCACCAGGAGCCTGGAATCAAACTAGACATATTCTTACCTGAGTCTACAAGTGCCCCTAAGGCTACAGAACTATACCCACCAACCAACGTCATTTCCATTGCAAGTTCAAGTGTGTGTGTTGTATGTATAAGTGTATACGTGTTTGTGCATGCGGGTGTGTGAATGTGCCTGTGGAGGCCAGAGATTGACATCAGATGTCTCCCTCAGACATGTTCTACCTTACGTTTTGAGGCAGGCTCTCTCTCAGCCCAGAGCTTACTGACTGGGCTGAAGTGGCTGGCCACTGAGCCTCTGCGATCCTCCCATCTCCAACTCTGGAATGCTGGCAGGCACAAGCTGCCACTCCAGGCTATCACATAGTGTTGGAGATCTGAATTCAGGTCCTTGTGTTTATATGGTCAGTGCTTTACTGACTGACTGAATCATTTCCTCGGCCTAATGTTTCTTTTTTATTAGAAAGAAGCTTCGTTTATGTATGTTTATATGTATGTATGTACCCATGAGTGCAGATGTGCAACAGCCCATGTGCAGAGCAACGTGTGGGAGTCAGCTCTCTCTTTCCACGGTGTGGTCCCAGTGAGCAACCTCAGGTGGTGAGGGTGGCTGACCAGTACCTTCACCCTCTGAGACATCTTGCTGGCCCCTACATTTGCTTTTCTAATACCTAACTTTAGGATTTGCTGGACTTCTAGCTAATTCCAGACTGGACTTCTAGATAATTCCACATCTGAATAATCTGCCCAAGTTGCCCAGGCTGGTCTAGAACTCAGGATGCTCCTGCCTCAACCTCCTGAGTGCTGGAATGACAGGCCTGCATTGTCATACTCTGGGTGCCTTGACTGTGTGGCGAGCAGACAGAGATTCTCTTAAAACTCCTGGAAGAACAATGACAACAGTAGTGAGGGTCACGTTCTGTTGAGCTCTGTGCCACAGAGTGTTCTCCTGTTTTGATCTGCGTTACTGTGGTGGTTTGAAAGAAAATGGCCCCCACAGGGAGTGGCACTATTAAGAGGTGTGGCCTTGTTGGAGGAAGTATGTCACTGTGGGGGTGGGATTTGAGGTCTCATTTTTCAAGCTGTACCCAATGTTACAGACTCCTCCTGCTGCCTGTGGATCGAGATGTAGAACTCTCAGCTACCTCTTCAGCACCATGTTTACCTGTACACCACCATGTCCTGTCAAGATGATAATGGACTGAACCTCTGAAACTGTAAGATAGCCCAATTAAATGTTTTTCCTTTATAAGAGTTGCTGTGTCTCTTAGAAACCCTAAGCTATCTTGCTTATTCTCAGGGTAAGACTACCAGGTGGCCCTGCTATCATCCCATTCCTGTCTCAGGAGAGAAATTCAGTGTCTTGTTGCTGAGAGAAGTAACTTGTTCATCTTTACATGATCAGCAAGAGGCTGGCGTGAATCCACATCCAGAAGTTGCACCCAGTGTGTCTGCCCCAGCAGGGCCTTGGCTGCATCAAGTACAGGAAGTCAACACCAGGAGGCCTTGTGGGAGGAGGTACCATCTCCACCCCAGGTACCAGGGTACCACCTAAAGATGTGGTGTCAACAGCCTAGAGCCATTTGAAAGTCACCAAATATCAGTGGTTCACCAGTGACTGTGGAGTCACCCAGCACTCATGGAGAGCAGCTTGGTCGGGAGCATCCAGGCACGGAGTTGGGATGGCAGGGACCTCCACACTTACTTCCTAGGGAAATCCACAAACAGTGTCACGGCCAGGATGATGATGAAGTCGAATATCATCAGCTTGTACATTTCCTGTCCCACCTGTGTCTCCCAGCACTGAAATCAAGACAGGGAGACACTAAAGGATCCACTCCCAGCGCAGGGAGCCAGCCTCCTGTATCCTCAATCATCCCCACACCCCACTGTCCCTAAGCTCCTGCACAGACTTCAATAGCCAAGCTCTTGACCATGTCCGGCATGGGGCCAGACCAGCCTTGAAGCTGGGAGTCAGGGCCATGGCTCACCGGGTAGAGTTTCTGGTTATAGCCACAGAGTTCGCATGTGCTGTCACCACAGGATGTGATCTTGGAGCCCAGCGTGAACACCAGCACACAGATGGTGGCCAGCCGCATAAAGACACACCTGTGGGAAAGAGGGGAGGGGAAGAGAAGGCATCAGGGCCAGCCTTCCTGTGAATCTGACACTGAGGAACATAGGCACCTTCCTTGCAAGCAAACCTGAACCTAGGCAGAGTTTCTGCTGGGGAAGCGGATGGTAGGGAATTGACTTACGGCCAATGAATTGTACACTTTAAATGGATCAAATGGTAACTTCATGTTACCAATATATTTTATAGCAAGTTTTAAAATATTATCAATTTTTATTATTTATATGCATATGGATGTGTTTGCATGAGGACATGTGTACATGCATACAGGCCAGAAGAGGACGTCGAATCCCCTAGAACTGAGGTTACAGGCCACCTGCCGTAGGTGCTAGAACCTAAACTCAGATCTTCTGCAAGAGTTCCTAACCACTGAGCCATCTATCCAATCTCTACAAGTTCTAAGGCAGGAAAAAAAGCAAGGCATGGTGGCACACAGATGATGAGTTCAAGGTCATCTTGAGACACATAGTAAATCCTGATTCAGAGGAGTAGGAGGGACGGAGGAGAAAGGGAAGGAGGGAAGGAGGGAGGGAGGGAGAGAGAGAGAGAGAGAGAGAGAGAGAGAGAGAGAGAGCTATCAAACTCGGCATGTGGACCTGTGAACAAGCCACTAGCCTCTCCATCATGGACACTGGCTCTATTTTGGAATATGTGATATAGTTTTGTTAAACCAAGTCCTTGTGACTTGGAGACACTGAAGTGTTTATGGGTGAAATGAAATGCCACCTGGGATCTCCTTAATATAACCCAGCATAAACAAGAATGCATGAAATAATGTGGGTCAAAGCCCAAGTATGGATTGAACATTCCTACAGTGACAGAGAGGGTACCACATATGGAAAGGGAGACGCAGGAATGTGGAAGAAGTCAATATGATTGAAACACAGTATATACATGTGTGAAAATGTCACAATGAAACTCATTATATATTGTCCTGACGTGCTAATAAAAAATCTTCCCCTGCTCCGTCTTTACAAAATGCAAAGGTTTTGTTGTTTGCTTGCTTTAAAAAAAGATATAAAAAAAGATAAAACACAGTCTGGAGTGCCTGCAAATCCCATAACTTAGGTAGCTGGGGCTAGAGGATCAGCGTTGAGGCCATTAAGGACATAGTAAGGATTCCTAACAGCCACTGTCTTTCTCAACAGCAGTTCATTCAGCCACATATGAGTCTATACTGGATAAAAGATAAATTCCTTAGCCTTCTTAAACATACTGAGACTGTCTCTGTCCTGAACAGTCTTATGTCAACTAGACAGAAGGTAGAGTAATCAGAGAGGAGGGAGCCTCAATTGAGAAAACCTCTGTAAGACCGGGCTGCAGGCAAGCCTGTAGGGCATTTTCTTATTTAGTGACTGATGGGGGAAAGCCCAACCTATTTTGAGTGGCTGGTAGTCCTGGGTTCTATAAGAAAGCAGGCTGAGCAAGCCCTGGGGAGCAAGACAGTAAGCAGCACTCCTCCATGGCCTCTGCATCAGCTCCTGCCTCTACGTTCCTGACCAGCTTGAGTTCCTATCCTGACTTCCTTTGATGATGAACAGCAATATGCAGGTGTAAGCCAAATAAGCCCTTTCCTTTCCAACTTGCTTTTTGGTCATGGTGTTTCATTGCAGCAATAGAACCCTAAGACAGTCTCAAAACAACAACAACAACAAAAAAAAACCCTCACTCTCAGATATTTGAGAAGGAGGAAAAAAGATATCCTGTTCAAGACAGTACCCACCTAGCCATCTTTACTCACTGGTGTGAACCCTCTGAACTCTGCCCAATACTGTCAAGTCTAACATCTTTAGAACAGTTTGTCCTTCTAGGACCCCATCCTATGCTTTCAGTTAATACAGAATCAAAAGTGTAACACTGACAGGAGACTCTGGAGTCTAAGGCCCTTCAATGCATGTGCAAATGATAATTTATGTACTCATGGGGCTCATCAAAGAAAGGATGGCATAGCAGGAAAATGTGCCACAACCGATTAGTAATGTCTGCCATGAGCAAGCAATGGTCTAGCTGTCATGCATGCAGTTAGGCATTACCTAAGAATTGTAAGGCGGATCTCAAAGCCTGGAGAATAATCCTCATAGTGGATGATCTTGGCAAAGATGATGGGGGTAATGAAATTGGCCAGTGTGATCACAATGGATGGGAGGTACAATATCAAGAGGTTCTCCCCAAAAACCATCTTGTCAATTTCCTGGAAAGATAACAGAAAACCCTGGTCAGCATAAGTAGGGTGGCGACAGTGACAACTTGAACTGAAAAGAGCTCAACTGTGCATGCTAAGCAGACAAAGCACATTTATCATCCCGTGTGGCTGGGAAACATAAGCTTCGGATGCTTGGAACCTTTCTTAGATGCATACATGCAGGGACCTAGTATCATGCTGGAAGAATGATGAATGCTACTGAACATATTAGGGAAGTGCACAGAATTCTGTGCATGCTGCAAAAACAGCCCATTCAAGGATGTTGTGATGTAACAGTCATTCTGTCTTTCCTTTATAGGTCACTTAGCCTCATGTATAGCTATCCGAGATGAAAACTAAGTTTCTTAGCCTTCCTTGAAGACAGGTACAACTGTAACTAAATTCTAGCTGAGGCAGCAGAAGTTTTAAATCAAACTCCATATCTCATCCTTGAAGAGATGGGGCCCCAGCCCCACCTCTTGCCCTTAGGCTAGAATATGGATACAGCAGTGAACCATCTTGTACCATATAGAAGATAGTCACAGTATATGAATGGATGACAAAGCCATAAGTCGGATGCTATTTATGGTATTTGGGTATCTAATGCCTGATGAATGACAGTCACTAGACCAAAGCGCATATATATATATATATATATATATATATATATATATATATATATATATATATATGACTTACAATGTAGTTCAGGCTGGTCTTGAACTTGTGATCCTCTGTTTGAGCCTCCTAAGTGCTGGAATTCCAGGTATGCACAATTACACTCATCTTCCAACACAAAAAACACTGCTTGACACTGGGAGACGGCTCAGGAGTTAAGAGTGTGTATCACTCTTGCAGTGGATCTGGGTTTAATTTCCAGAATCCATAGCCAGCTGCAACTCTAGCTTTAGGGACCCTGACAATCAACCCCATTTCCCCACATATATATGCACAATTTAAGATAAAATATTTTAAAACACTGATTTTTTTTTTTAGACAAACTGAGGTCCTGGCTATTAAGTAGAGAGTCAGAGAAGAAATGCAGGCAGCCCAGCTTAGATCTAAATACTGTGAACTCTTCAGGCGGGAAGAGGTATCTCCCAAACAGTGTTTTAGATGACCTCACAGTGGAAACTGATCAGCTGATTTACAGTTCCTGTATCAACCAAACTTCTGTCTCCGCCTGCATAGAGAAATGGTGGTGGCACCTTCCACGCAGGTCTGCAAGGCACCCAGCATGCCGCCACATTAGAGCACAGGGTCAGCTGACTCTCACGGAGCACTTACTTTCTTCATGTGTTCTTGTGAGAAGACAGTGGCTAGGTAGATCGCATAAAAGCACGCGGCAAGCACAGCCAGCACGACGCAATTCAAGAGCAGCCTCAGAGAGTAAATGCGTATGGTTTCCTCTGAGGTCCTCTCAGCTATTTTCTGTCGTATTCTCTCTTCCTCCAGGTCTGCCTGAGGACCAAGGAAAACTCATCTGTGAGCTATCCCCTAACATATCCCACAGATTTCTCTGAAATATTCATGTTGCCCAAGATACTTTCCCAGGCTAAGCCCCACCAGTTTTTACGTCTCAGGCTTATGGTAGGAGAGAACCTCCTAATCAAGATGGCACTTGCCTTTGTAATAAATGTGCAAGCTGAATCAGCATTTGAGATGCTGTGTGTGTATGTGTGTGCACACGTGTGCACATGCAGATGGGGCAGTATTTCTTTAAATGGGATATGTCATCATTATTTTAATTTTGCTTATTAATTTGTCATTTATTTATCTGAAGTTCTGAGGATTGAACCCAGGGCCTTATGTATGCCAGATCAGCACTCTACCATCAACCTATATCTCTAGTCCTTAAAAAAAGTTATTGTTTTTGAGACAGTCTTACTAAATTGCCAGGAAAGCCTCAGATTTTAGCTCTTCTGCCTCCACCTTTCAAGTAGTTAGGACTATGGGTATGTCCTGCTATGTTGGTCTGTTTTTAATCCAGTCTGGGAGTCTCTGCTTTTAACAGGAGAATTTGACCAGTTCATATTTAGAGTAATGAATAGTAAATACAGTCAACCCTACCCGCCTTCCTTAAACCTTTAGGTTCTTACCCTCAACCTTTTTCTGATGGGTTTGACCAACATGCTACTCATTTCTCTTTCTCTATTAAATATGGAAGCTTTTCTGTTACATTTCAACTTTTCTCTAGTCTATTACCACAGCATTCCCTTAATGTTTCTAGTGCAAACAACGTTTATGACACTATGTCCAGGTAGGATATTAATAAGATAGGAGGGGATGGAGGCAAGACACCATTTACTTGTGTGTCCTACCTCCTTTCCCAGTTCCAAGTTACCAGCACACATGCTTAGGTTAAAAGGGATCAACCTGATAAGCTGTTTGTCAAACAAAGAGGAAGCTTGCTGAGACATAATGGGCCCCGAGATGCCATGTTAGCTGCAAGCAGCCTCCCCAGAGCCAGCCTGGCAATGAGGTCTCTCCCCAGGGCGACCCAGCAGCACTCACTCGGAGCTCATACCGCAAGCTGCTGTGCTTCAGCTCGGCCATGCTGCGGTTGGTGATGCAGAAGTCCCAGCCAGCGAAGATCTTGTTACAGTAACTCTGGAAGTGCTCCTCACTGCGGATCAGGCTGATTTTGAACCCTTCCACCGACCTGACCCCAAAACACAAGTGTCATTCTGAGAACAGCAGCAACATATAGGCCCATGAATTGGTCTCACTTAAGATACAGAGTTGGACGTGGCAACCTTGCTGGCCCCTTGTGACACAGCGAAGTTTATTGTAAAGCTGTGTCAGGTGAACAGATATCTCACTGATGAAAATCGTTGTGTTCAGTAACTTCTTTTTTAAAGGTAACCATACTTTATGCATATGGATGTTTTGCCTGCATGTATGACTTGTGTACCATGTGTGCACCTGTTACCTGCTGAGGCCAGAAGAGGGCACCACATTACCTAGAACTGGAGATAGATGGCTGTGAGTCACCATGTAGGTGCTGGGAATCAAACCAACCCAGTCCCCTGGAAGAGCAGACAGTGTACATAATCACTGAGCCATCTCTTCAGCCCTCCACTCAGAAACATTTTTCAAAATTTATTTAATAATTTTACTTTATGTATTTATTTGTTGCAATGCTGAACACTGAACCCAAAGCCTCTTGAAGGCCAGGTCAATCTCTAAGAGAGACTCCTGGCTCCCCTCCCCTTATAATACTTTTATTTTGAAACTTCCATTGAGGTGCGCAGGCTACCTCCTGCCTCAGCCTCTTTTTTCTTAAAGTAATTTGGTTAACTTTATCTTATGTGCATTGGTGTGAAGGTATGAGATCCCTTAGAACTGGAATTACAGATGGTTGTGAGCTGTAATGTGGGTGCTGGGAATTGAACTCAGGTGCTCTGGAGGAGCAGTCAGTGCTCTTAACCACTGAGCCATCTCTCCAGCCCCTGGCTCAGCCTCTTAAGTAGTTTAGATAACAGGCATGCACTAACATGCATGATGCATGGCCCAAAGTTTTAGTTCAGTAGTCTCGTGTGGTGGTCACAAATACAGCTTCTATTGTGTTTCTGGCTAGTGTGTGGTGAGACAATTGTTCACAGAATTTAGAATCTCTCTCCTTTCTTGGGAGTTACTCTCTCATCAGATCACTAGAGAAAGACCTTGCTGTCTTATGAACTGTCTGACAGACTTTTCACACTGTGGCAAATGCCTGAGATTGACAGCTTAAAGCCAGAAAGGGTTAGTTGCTTCACTGTTCCAGAAACTTCTATCCATGGTTGGCTGGATTCATTGCTGGGCCTGAGGTGATGGGGAGGGTATTACAGCAGCTGAGCATGGTGGGAGAAGCAGAGAGGGGAGAGGGAGGTACCTCATGATGTCCAGGAAGCAGAGGGGGGAAGGGAAGTACCTCATGGTATCCAGGAAGCAGAGAAATGGAGAGGGAAGGAGTGCTCACAAGGCATGTCACCTGCTTCCTCCATGCAGGACCGGCTCCTAACAGCCCGTTCAGCTATGAAGGCATCAGTGGATTACCCCATTTATGAGGTTAGCATCCCCATGATGCGTCCACCTATAAAGAGCCCACCATCGGGGGATCAAGCCTTGAACACTGAGCCTTTCGAGGGAATTTCACATCCAATCTACATGACCCTAACCAGGCAATGGACACACACCATCAGGGGCTCAACAGTCTCCTGGCCCTGACCACAATGGAAGGGTCAGGATTATATAGCTGAGTGGACAGAGCCAATAATGCCTTCACAGCACTTCTGTGCCCGCGATCAAGGCAGCTGAAGGCTGATAGAAACTGCTATTTCCCACCACTGCAAGGAGCTGCCACGCTCGGAGCTGACTAGTCTCTTGCTTTTGACATCATTCCTAAGACATGGCTGTGTCCTTCTCAGAACAGTCTCTCCCCTTCCTCGGTTCTCTGTGCACTCAATTCCCCAGTGGTCCAACTAACCAGAGTTGGTTTTCTGCCACTTTCAGGCCAATGGAGACCCAGTTAACATAACCCTCCCCAGGCAGAAGGAAGCCTGTGAGGAAGAGGGATCTGGAGGAGGCGCTTAGCACACACTGAACTGCAGGCCGCCACTCCAGCTGCCAGCTCCTGACTTCTTCCTCCGAGTCTTTGCTGTAGCACACGCAATACCTTCCTCTGAAGCCCACCTGTGGGCTCTGCTCATCCTTCAGGCCCTGACTTCCAGAGTCCATGAAACAGTGAGAGATTCCACCCACTGAGAATCGGAGATGCCCCACAGACGTATGGGGGCCAGAAAATGTGGGGAGGTTATAGAACAGACTCGCAGAGGTAGGTCACAGAGCTAGAGTCCTGGTTCCAGAGTGTTCTCTTCTTTCTGATCCACTGCCATGTGAACAAGCTGCTGTGTCCTGCTCCAACTGCCACACCTTCCCCACTGTGAAATTCTCTGCAACCATGAGCCTAGATAAATCTTTCCTCCCTTGAGCTGTTTCCGCCAGGTATCTGGTCACAGCAGTAAGAATGCTGCTGACACAAATGCAAACCAAAGGGAAGGAGAAAGCAAGGCACACTTACCGTTTCACTATCCAAAGGAGACTCAGGGCCAGGTAGGCAATCGTGCTTATTAAGTAAGCCAGGGGCAGATCATATGTAAAGTTCTGGAATTTTACTCCATCAATGGTGTAATGTCCATAAAAAAGGCTGGTCTCCTCCAAGAAGCCCTTAACAAAGCAAGAACATGGGATCAGGTGGGTCAGCTCAGGCAGGAAACTGAAGGAGGCATCCCTGCCTCGAGGAACCCACACTCGACTGTCCTTGTTCATCCCAGAATCTCTCCACACCAGAGAAAAACCCAAAGTATAAGGGATGCTTAGTTAGTGTAGAGGAGTAAGGTACTGCTAAAACCTGAGGACCAAAACCCACTGGTAAGGACTAGAAAGATGGCTCAGCAGTGCATGTACTGTGCTTGCAGAGGACCCAAGCTTGGTTTCCATCACCCACAGCAGGGGACTCACAACCTCCTGTAACTCCAACTCCAGGAGACCTGATGCCCTCTACTGGCCTCCAAGGGTACTGCCTCATGTGCACATACTCCCACACAGACACTTCCATATACACAGAAAAATATTAAATACTTTTTAAAAATTAACTGGTAAATTACACTTAACTGATGTGAGAAAAAAATTCTGGGTCATAGTATCAAAAAGAACACATAAGAATAAGTTTAACACAAGTATAAATAGTATATTCTGAAAACTATGAACCACAGTTGAAATAAAAGTGGACTGGGGATGTAGCTTGGTGGGTAGAGTGCTGGCCTAGTATGCACAAGGTTATGGATTTGATCCCAGCTTAAAACAAATATGGGTACACACACATATAACTAAATGGGCGGTGGTGGTCACACCTATAGTTCTTGCACTTGGAAAGCAGAAACAGGCAGACCTCTGTAAGTTTAAAGCTAGCCTGATCTACAGATCGAGTTCCAGGATAGCCAGACTCTACACAGAGAAACCTTATCTTGAAAAACCAAAAATAAATAAATAAAATGGAAAGGTATCCATTTGTTTTGGATGGTGTTCTTGGTGCAGCATCTCCACATCGATAATCTACAAATGGGTTTACAGAACCAGCACAAGCCCAGTCAGAACCCAGCTGGCTTCACTCAGAAATGGCAAGCTGGTCTTAAAGTTTAGATGCAACTACAAAGGAGTCAGTGGCCAAACAACCTTGACAAAGAAGAATAAAGTTGGAAGACCACTGTCTCACCTCCAGGTCTTACCACAAAGCAAAATCAAGAGCTTCAAGGGCGGGCACAAAAACAGGCACAGAAGCTGCCTTTAATCCCAGCACTTGGGAAGCAGAGGCAGGTGGATCTCTGTTAATTCAGGGCCATTCTGGTCTACACAAAACAAAGTAAACCAACAACCACAACAACAAAACCAGACACACAGCAGAAAAACAGAACCAACTACCCATACATCTCCAGCCAACGAGTTTTTATAGGGAAAACATGTCCTCTGAACACATGACACACACGTAACATCAGCTTAAAATGGATGGAGAATCTAAGCATTAGAGGCAAATATACAAAAAAAACAAAAAAACAAAAACAAAAAAACCAACAACAAGTTTAAGGTTAGCCTAAGCCAAACAGCAAGACTGTTTAAAAATAAACAGATAATAAACAAAGTCCCATTTTTTTTCATGACAACCATGTATTCTCACACTACCTGAGTAAGAGAATGTTTAAATAGAAGCAGATGTAGAAAGAGGAGACTCCATACTATCTCCCACTCTCTCAAAGGCTGGGCACACACATCATAAAACTCTGTCCACCTTTCCGGATCCCTTTCCACATGGCCCCAGGTCGATCTCCGTTCTCACCAAACTTTCCCTCACAATAAAGGGGCACCAAAGGCCAGAGGGCCACAGAGACCAGAAAATAAGCCCCCTGCAGGAACCTGTTTCAGAAGTCAAGCCTGTGGCCATACCTTTGGCCCTCTTTTTTCCTGTTGGGCCTATTTCAGTGGAAAGTGACAACAATGGGAATGAAATAAAAACCATTCCTCAGTCACAGATGCTGCATCTCAAGAGCTCAAGAGCCAGTCACTCTATCACTGGGCATAAGAGATCCAAGCTACTCTCCGGAACACCGCCAAAAGTTCTGCTGGACAGGGCTGCTGGAGCATGCTACCTGTGTTGCACACCTATGATAGTGACAACTATCCTTTAAAACACATTAACAAATGTTGCCTGTGGGATGCAACATAATGAAACAGGGCTATTTGGTGAGTTCCTGTCTTGAAAAACCAAAGAGGAGGAAGAAGAGAGAGATGACAGTGGCTCTGAGGCTTGGTTCTGGGAATGTTTTTTTTTTTTTTATGAGACCTGGTGTCACTATGTATCCATGACTGTAGACCAAGTTGGCCTAGAACTCACAGAGATCCACCTGCCTCTGACTCCCTGTGCTAGGAACAAAAGTGAACCCCACCATAGTAAGTCAAGTTTGTTCTCAGTAACAATGACTTCAGGCAAGAGAGAGTTGTTCTCATTTACATAGCTTCTATTTTCTCATTTATATATCTGGCATTTGACGGTGTACCCAAGAACCCCTGAGCTGTTTTGTAGAAAACATGACCTTGGACATGTAAAGGCACCCCCAAATATTAAATGCAATTGACAAACCCCAGGCTTTTTACCTACCTATTCAAAAAAGCAACAAGTTCTATGACGTGGCATTTTAATACTAGCAGCTTCCAGAAAGATAGCTTAATCTGTAGGCTAAGTGTCTTCTGTCTGAAATGATTGGGACCAGAAGGGCCTAACATTTCAGAACTTTTCAGAATTTGGAATATTCCCACAGACTTCACCAGCTGGGTGTCATCAGACAATCCCAAACACTTCCAATCCAAGTGTGGGTTTTCAGATCAGAGATACTAACTGCAGGGCATTGTAATTCAGGCCAATACAAAGGTAGCAGAGAGCAGGAAGAGGCCACTGGCTGGAAGCAGCAGAGTATTTCCGGAATACTCTAGTGGGAGATGAGTAGGAGAGCACAGGACTTGCTGATGAGCTCACTGCAAACCCTGTCTCCGCTGCTCACTGCCAGCACGGGCATTTGGCTCCTGTTGGTCTTTGAAAACCAACATTGTCTTTGGATATTGTTGTTTTGAGGCAAGGTCTCACTAGGTAGCCTAGGCTGGCCCCGCAATCCTCCTGCCTCCACCTGTAAGATCACAGGCACACACCACAGAGCCCCATTCAGGACACTGAGGTCTAAATCAACTTGATGTCAGTGTAAGGAGGGTCCACAAAGGATTGAGTTAAATACTTACTGTGCCAGACAGCAAGTCTATGATGTAACTGTAAAAGTAAATGAGCCCAGAGCTACTTATTGGATAGACAGTGCACTGTATATCTGCAGGAAACAAGAAGAAGGATATGTGTCAGAAACAGCCTCATTATGTCAGTGATTCGTCTATTGCAGTTGGTGAACATAAGCTGTAGCTACATATTCAGATGCACCTATGAGTTTGTACACGCTGTACTTGTCATTTCCTATTGTTCTACCTTTGAGCCCCAGTATGTCTGGTACATCCCTTTACCTCTCCGTTCTATTTTTAGGGTTTCTCTTACAGTTCCTTTACTTTCCTTTAGCATGTTCCTTTCCTAACTAATTTGAGGTTATATCTACTTTGTCTGTTAGTAGGTTTTTTATCGTTTCATTTTGCTTTTATTTGTTTGTTGATTACATGTACATGTACAACATGTTCACGCAGGTGCCCACAGAGGGCAGGAGAGGGCATCACATCCCCCACATCTGGAGTTACAGGCAGTTGTGAGCTGCCCACTGCAGAGCTGAAAACCAGACCTACCCCATCTCCTCAGCCCCCACATTTGTTGTTCCTTAAATGATCTAAGTATTCGATAGTGAAATATTGTTTAAGGGAGGGATACCATCTCTATTTAAATGATCACCCCGGCTCAACAGAGAAAGAAACTGAGGCTCAGAAGGTTAAGTGACTGGCACTGGAAACCTAATGTGGATTTTCACGCAGCAGCAGGAAATAATGATACACAAGAAAATAGGAGTGCTCACAAGGCAAAAAGCAGCCCTAACAGTAAGTCTGAAGTGCTGGGTTATTTGACTTTTAAGTGAATTAAAATGGGAACAAAGATCAGGAGGAAGAATGCATAGGGCCTCAGAAGAGCCCATCCACGGTTCTTCTGAGTAAGGAGTTATGTCACAGGGCATGAGGGTTTGGAAGACCTGCAACCAAGCTGGCTCCTCCACAGAGCCTGGGATCAGAGGTTTGCAGTGGGTGTCAGTGAAATTGAGGAAACGCTTCCCATCTGGGCTAATAGGATACCCAGAAGATCTGAGTTTTATTGAAAATGCAAAAGCCCAATTCAGCTCTTACCAGAATGTCTGGCACAAGATCACTGTGGAATTGCTATTAGCTTCAAGTGCATTTTTTTTTTTTTTTGGCTTCTTTGTTTGTTTTTCAAGACAGGGTTTCTCTATGTAGCTTTGGAGCTTGTCCTGGAATTCGCCCTGTAGACCAGACTGGTCTCAAATTCACAGAGACACATCTGCCCCTGCCTCCCAAGTGCTGAGATTAAAGTCGTGCATCCCCTACCCCCCCACCCCCTCCTTCAAGTGCATTCTTATCATAGATAGCAGTTTTGAAATGAAGTCACCTTGGGTGAGGGATTGATTCTTTTAGGTTTGCTAACTATCCCACTTACCCACCTTGCATTGTTCCTCCTACATGCCCTTGTAAACTCAGGAGGAGCTGGGCGCCCTGATTTGGCCAATGAGATGTGGGAGAAACGTGTTTGTGTGTCATCTCCAAACAGAAGCATCAGGAGTCAGCACACATTTGCCATGGCTTCCTTCCCCTGGATCGCAGTGACAATTGGCTGCCCCAGCAGCTTGGGCTCCTGAGTGAAGACTCCCAGCCCAAGATGTGTCTGGACTGTGAGTGAGAAGTCCATGTTTACAGTCACTGGTACCGAGGATAATGGGGTCATTTGTTTCTGCAGCATAACCTAACCCATGCCGACCGACACAGCTGCCTGAGACTCAGAATGAAGATGCCCAGGACACAGCAGCGGGGATGGCCCTTGGACTCACCCATGTCTTTGAACGGGATGAGCACGAAAGTGCTGTTGGTAATCTTGTACTTGGTGAGCAGGATGGGGAGCAAAACCAACATGAAGATGATCAGGAAAATCACCAGGTTCAGGACCACCAGGAACCGTAGGAAGGAGAAGTAGGACTGGATCCCCGTGCCGAACTTCCCTGGAAAAGAAGCAACGTGGGTACCGGTGACCTGCTGCACACCGTGGACTCCAACACCAAGAGAAGGCTGAGGAGAAGGGATCCCTGCTGCGGGACAGAGAGGAAGAGCCACAGTCCTTCGATGTATGTTTTCATCACGTGTGTGGGCACCGCTATGGAGGTGAGAGGGCAGCTTTCAGGAGTCCGTTCTCTCCTTTCACCACACGGGGCCGGGGATCCACCTGTGACATCCCATTCTCCGTTCTTTACTTGAAGCCCACATTCCCAGAGTTTCCATACGTAGATCCACAGCTGCTTCTGAATGTGTCCTCTAAGAGGGCTGTGAGGTAACCTTCTGTCACATGAATATCCGGCTGCCTCAGCACCGTGGTAGATGCCAATTATCTATATCTGTACATATGTCCTATCCTGTCCCTGGTCCACACATCTATCTTTACAGCGATATGAGACTTAGTTGTTGCAGACTTATGCAAAGGGATGGTCTCTGGAGCTCCACATCTTCATCCTCTGTTCCCCCAGCTTATCCTAGGTACTCAGCATTTCTAACATATGACGCTTAGAGTCACACAGACACAGACAGACAGACAGACAGACAGACAGACAGACAGACACACACACACACACACACACGCGCGCGCGCGCGAGTCTCTCTGGTTGAATTACATGAAATACACTGATGAACTTGAGAAGTGACATCTCATCTTTTTAATATTGAATCTCCTGAACATGATACACTTGGATCTTCTTTGATATTTCTCAGTAAGATTTTTATACCCTGCTTCCCTTTCCTCCCATTCTCCTCCTTTTTTTTTGAGACAGGGTCTCACTATGTAGCTCTAGCTGGCCTTCTCTTATATGAACCAAACTGGCCTGGAACTCAGGGATTCACCTCGCTCTACCTCCTGCATGCTGGGATTTAAAGGTGTGAGCTACCACACCTGGCCTTTTCTGTTTTGGGGGAGAATCCTGCTATGTAATTTAGACTGGCTTGAACTTGCCAGGTATATCTGGCTATTCTGGGATTTATGATCCTCCTGCCTCTACCTCCCAAGCTCAAGGATTATAGGCATATGCCATCACATCTGGTTTCCATAATATTTTTACAGTTTTCTATGCTTGAACACTATTTATTCTTAGATAAACTTCCTAGGGATTCAACTTTTTATATGTGACTATAAATCGTATAAAAAAACTTCATTTTGTGGGGCTGGAGAGATGGCTCAGTGGTTAGGAATGTGTTCTGTTCTGCACAAGACTCGAGGTTAGTTCTCAGCACCCACATTAGGTAGTTTACAACCACCTGTCACTATGGCTCCAGGGCATCCAACTTTCTCCTAGGGCACCTGCAACCTACATGCACATACCCCACACAGATGCACACATATATAATTAAATGTTTAAATCTTTAAAAAAAACTTACTTTTCTAAATGTTGCTAGTATGAAGAATACACTTAGGGCTGGGGTTGTAACCCAGAGGTAGAGTATTTACCTAGCATGTAAAGCCCTGGATTCCCCAGCAATCCCCTAAAGATGAGGGAAATACAGCCAATTTGATACAGACTGTCAAATCAACAACTAGCCTTGTTAAATTCACATAGAGTCTAACAGCTTATCCTTTTTACTTTCTATGCATATATTATCTGGAAAAATGATATTTTCTTTCTTCCTTTTCTGATTCTTTTCCCTTTCTGCTTTATCCCTGAAGTAAACAGTTAGCTAAGACTTCCAGAGTAATACTGAAGAGACTGTGATAACTAACACATTTCCTCCCTCTCCATCTCAGGCTTCCAGTATGTCATTTAATGGGATATTTGCTGTAGGTTTCTCATAGATTTCAAAAGACAAACGCTTTTTCTAGCTCACACTTGCTAAGAATGAAGACTGGGGTAATGGTGTCTTCTCTTCACCTCCCAGAATGATCATATCTTCATTCATGCGGTGAACTTAGGGACAGAAACTCAAACAGAAGAGCAGCCTACCAGCAGAGAAGGACTGAATCCCCACAGACAGTCTGCAGAGTGAGGGGTCTGCTGTTCCTTGGAAGTCAAGAACACATGGCTGACCCTGATGATGGAACACACCCACACCATGCTCTGTCAAACACTCAGTGATGTCACCAGAGTTAATGCCTTTGATTTTGTACACCTTCTCGTTCTGCCACAGGGACATCAAGTCAGCCAAGAAATCCCAGTAGAACTAATAAAGAGAAAGGCAAAGATCCAGTTCCCCCAGGAAGAAGAAAGTCTCTAATGCCTGCAAGAGTCAGTCAGAAGTCTCCAGGAGTATTTCACCCAATCAGGGAAGCTGAACACAGCCTTCAGGCCACTGTTCTTGTTACTCTAGTCGGATACCTGACAACTCAAGGAGGAAGGTATTTGGGAGCTCATAGTTTTTTGTTGTTGTCGTTTTGCTTTGCTTTTTGTTTGGGAATTTTTTGTTTTATTTTTATTTATTTATTTATTTTTGGTTTTTCAAGGCAGGGCTCCTCTGCGGCTCTGGAGACTGTCCTGGCAGTAGCTCTTGTATATCAGGCTGGTCTCAAACTCACAGAGATCTGTCTGCCTCTGCCTCCTGAGCACTGGGATTGAAGGAGTGCACCACCACCGCCATGCCTGGGGGCTCACAGTTTGAGGGAACGCAGTCCATCATGGAAGAGAAGGAACCAGGCTAATCACCTTGTGTTCACACTCAGAAGCAGAAGAAAGCCAGGAAAGGGGACCTTCAGCTAAGAACCCTCAAGGCCCACCCCAGTGATCCATTTCCTCCAGTTAGGTCCCACCCTGAAGCTAGCCCACAGCTGGTAACCAAGTGTTCAAACACAAGAGTCTATGTGGGACATTTCATATTCAAAACACACTTGGCTTCAGAAGCCCGACTGCCTGTGCCTCACCCTAGCTGGACTGTGTACACTTGGGCAAGCATCTTAACTAACTTCACTGTGGCAGACAAATGGTGAGGTATCCACATGAAAGGGTTTTGTGAAGCTGGGTGTGGTGACACATGCTTTAATACTAGCAGCAGGAGGTAGAGGCAGGCAGATGTGAGTTCAAGGCCAGCCCAGTCCACATAGAGAGCAACAAAGGGGTGGGGAGCCTTGTGAGGACTAACAGAGGTAATATGAGTGAGGTGCCAAAGGCAACACTTGGTTCATTGTCAATGCTCAGTAAAGAGCTGCTTGTATTTTTCTCAAGACCACACTAGGCTTCCACTTCAGGAGAAAGAGCGTGAGCGTGTGGCAAAGATCTATGAACCTGGAAGACGGCTTAGAAATGTGTTTACAGCCTCCATGTAAAACAGCAATTTACAAAGAATAAATTATCAGTGGTATAAAGACCTACCTTATTTTAACTATGCGTATGTGTAAGGGGGTGGGAACATAAAGATGCCTAGGGGGGCCTGAAGAGGGTGCTGGGTTCCCTGAAGCTGGAGTTATAGTCTGTTGTGAGCTGCCCAGTGTGGGTGCTAGAAACGGAAGAGAGGCCTTTGCAAAAGCAGTTTCCACTCTCAGCCAGAGCTGTGCTCCAGCACCGCCCTCCCCGGAAGACCAGAGGACACCCCACCATCTGTCTGTCTGTCTGTTTGGGGACAGGGTTTCAAGGTGTAACCCTGGCTGACCTGAAACTCACAGAGATGCACCTGCCCCTGGCTGGATTAAAGTCCTGGCCACCACGCCTGGCACTATACTTTTAGGGTAGGTAATAAGGAAGATGGTCACTTCTCCCAAATGTCCTGCCATTATCCTTATAGACTATATGAGAACATCTATATCAGCAGCTATAAGGCACTGATCATAAATCATTTTGTTTTATGATAGAAAATACAGAATGGTAAGAGGCATCTCCCTGCCCCAGGCTCTGTTGTAACCTCTCTATATGACAAAGGCATAGGCCCTATTAAGGCTAAGTGTGGGTCAAGTTCACACTTGAGATGGTCAGTCTTGACTGTCAGCTTGTCCGAATCTTGGTTCACCGAGGAGGCACCTCTAGGCATGTCTGCCTGGGAACACAGAGGGTCAACTGAGGGGGGACGTCCCAACCTGAATGTGGGCAGCGCCATCCCATGGGCTGGACCGAGTAAAAAGGAGAAAGTGGGTTGAGCACCAGGGAAGTTCATCCCTTTTGTGTCCTAACTACAGACGTCACAAAAGTGACCAGCCTCCTCAAGCTCCTGACAGCATGTCCTGCCCTACCATGGCAGACTATATTCTGAAACTGTGACCCAGAATAAACCCCTGCCTCCTTAGTTTGCTTCTGTTAGGAATTTTGTTAGTCATCAACACAACATTCATCCTGGAAGGAAATCCTCAACATCACTTCAGCTAGGTGCAAACCCAAGTTGCTTGCAGGGGAAGCCTCAGCAGGTAGGCAAAATCCCACCCCCACGCCTACCCCCACCCACGCACACCCTCCGCTGCCTGCAGAGGAAGGTGAAGTGGGTAGGCACACCCCGGCCCCCAGCTGCTTGGCCTGCAGGGGAGCCAGCAGCAAAGGAACTGTACCTTCAATGCTGCGGATGTCCTTGCGCCACAGTTCCAGGTGGGTCGTCATCTCACGAGCTTTCTCTAGGAACCTCTTCCAGGACTTGCTGCTATACCGTTTCCACTGGTCCCACTCCGATAAATACTTCATCTGGGTTTCCTGAATGTCCCTGCATCAAAAGATGGCCATGAGCATGACAATGACAAGGCAGTATCAAGTCTAAGCTCCGTGACACTGGATGGGAGCCCTTGAGCATAACTTGGGAATATTAGCCATAAAAAGGGACGGAGCACTGACACATGCTCCAGTGTGAATGAACCTTGAAAGTCATACAAAGTGGAAGAAAAAAGAGCCAGACGTGGAGGTCGCATTCCATGCACACACAAACCTAGAGACAGCAGGTTCCTGGGGGCTTGGGCTGAAGGAGGAGGAATGGAGAGCGATTTTTTAATGGGTACAGAGTTTCCTGCTGTGGTGATAAAGCATTTTTGGAAGTAGCTGGTGGTGATGAGTGCACAGCATTGCCAATAGGCTCAGTGCCACTGGATTGTAAGCTGTCAATCACAATGAGTACTGTGTACTCAGTACAATGACCCCATGGTACCATTCCTGACCTCTTGTCCCACCAGTCAGCTGGCAAACTCTTCTATTTCACCTCCAGAATACCGCTTCTTTTGATAACACATCCTCTCCAAATAATGTCTGTTTCTCCCAGGATGCTACAAATGATGGTTTTGTTTATTTTTGAGACAGGGTCTCACAGTGTAGCTCTGACTGGCCTGGAACTTACTATGTTGACCAGGCTGGACTTGAACTCACAGAGATTCATCCACCTGCCTCTGTATCCAAAGTGCTGGGATTAAAGGTGTATGCCACCATACTCAGCCTGATGCCACAAGCTCTTTAAAGGTTGAGAATGTATAATATCTGTTGCTGTGGTCCTCTGACCCAGGAACACAGACTGCTGACTCCGTGACAGCCCTGGCCTGACCCAGTTTGCTTTGCTCTCCATTCTGTCCTAAGGACAGTAGCTGGTGTTTAATTCATTCTTTTTTTGGGGGGGGGGTTTGAGACAGGGTTTCTCTGTGGCTTTGAAGGCTGCCCTGGAACTAGCTCTCGTAGACCAGGCTGGTCTCAAACTCACAGAGATCTGCCTGCCTCTGCCTCCCAAGTGCTGGTATTAAAGGCGTGCGCCACCATCACCCGGCATTAATCCATTCTTAATAAACACCTACCACTAAAACCAAAGGACAACATCCACAAAATACATACATTTAATATGCACTGCTGTATTCATGAAAGGTAAAGTGCTTTCCCATAGTACAGAGTATGTTTAGATAGACAAATGGATAGCTATAGATACAGGTATTGATAAATGGATGGATGATAGGATAAACAAGTGAATAAATGGATATAGATACAGATAAATTGATGGATTATACAATGCGTATATAGATAGGTGATGCATGGAAGGAGATAAATGGAGAGATGGACAGAGATCAGTGGATGAACAGATGATGATGATGGATAACTGAGAGGTTAATGATGGGTGGAGAAATGGATGGATACAGTGTACATGCTTGTAACCCTAACATTTAGGAGGCTGGGACAGTGAGTTCAAGATTAGCCCAGGTCACACAGAGATATCTTGACACAAAAAGAAGGAGAAGAGGCCTGAGGTGATGGCTCAGTGGGTAAAGTACATGATGTGCAAGCCTGAGGACCTGGTTAGGATGCCTAGGACCTGCCTGCAACCCCAGAACTGAGGGAGATGGAGACAGGTCAGGTAAGTCTTAGGGACTTGCTGGACAGCCAGAATAGCCAACTGCTGAACTCTAGGTTCAGGGAGTCTGCCCCCCTCAAAAAAATTAAGGTGGAATGACAGAGGACTGCACCAAATGTCAACTTCTGGCCCCTACACCGGTGCATGCACACATGTACATATACATGTACATATCCATGTACACACACATGCATGCATGCATGCACGCACACACAGACACACACGGAGGTGGGGGTTGGGGGAGCAGGATATGAGTTGGGCCACATCTCCCACTGAACTAAATAAACCTGGACTGTTTACTCAAACAGGAGGTGAACAACTTCTTGAAGGTCACATGTCACTGCAGCTTAGGAATGCTCACTACAGATGAACTCTGAGTTCCTCACATCACAAACATACCACACACACCACATATACCCCTCTCCCAGCCTATAGCATGGCCACGTCCAGGCAGCTACTGAACAAACCTCAGTCTCCGCTTCTCAGAGATGTTCAGCGCGTACTTGCGGATGGATTGGCTGTTGAGGTTTTCTGTGATTCCTCCATCCAGCTGGGAACTGTAAGAGTCCGTTGGCTTTAGCAGGGTACCACTCTGCCTGTCCCGGGAGACGATGTTCGTTCGCCTGCGTGCCACTGACCGATAGCTTGGCAGCTCTTGAAGGAAGTTCACAGGTGGAGAGAAGCAGCTAGAACCTAGAGACATGTTCTCTGGGTGAGAGAAAAAAAGCAAAATTCGTTACAGACAGCTTGGGAGCCTTCGACTCTCAGAGACCATGAGCAAGCCTTGGAGACAGTTGCTTGCACAGCCAGTGACAGACTATCTGGACTGTCTTTTCTCTTTTATTGTACTGGGAACTGAATCCAGGACCTTACACATGCTAGGCAAGTGCTCTACCACTGAGCTATCTAGCCAGCCCTTTATTTATTTAGAAAAGGTTTTGGTAAGTTTCCCAAGCTGACCTTGAATTTAGAATCCTCCTGCCTTGGTCTCTTGTGTAGTGGGAATTACAAACATGTGTCAACATGAATTACTAGTCTGTGTCATTCTTTGTTTTGTTTGCATGTTGATGAGTGCTCTCCTGTGGGTGCATGTACATGTATGCATGTGTTAGTGAAGACAATGCTGGGTGTCTCTATCACTTTCTACCTTATATATTGAGGCAGGTTCTCTCTCTTGAACCCAGAGCTCGTTCATCCAGATAGCCTAGTTGGCTGTTTTGCTCCAAGAGATGGGATATCTCCACCTCTTGAGCACTGGAGTTACTACTGGGCATTCAAGCGAGTTCTGGGCATCCAAACTCTGGTCCTCACATTAAAGGGGTGTGGAAAAGAGAAGAGTATGAGGCCTGAGTGGCTGGGCTAGAGTCAATGAAATCTTACAGGCTGATGACTTGGAGATGTCACCAAGAAAGGAGCCACTGAGGCCTCTAGACCATAACTGACAGGGTTCTGACCACACTTTAACAGGTCACCCTGAGCAAGCTGCTGGAACCCATACTGTGAGCCTAACCTTCCGGACACTAAGAGAATTCTGAATTTGAAACCACCCAAGGCTACATAGTGAGACCTTAAGGACAAGCCTGGGTACAGCGGGTATGGTCACAGGATTACAGGTGCTCACAGGGGTGCGAGTTCTCGGTGAGGTGGCAGACACAGTGTCCCCAAGCGTAGATGTACCCGGAAGTGTGAGAAGGACAAGGACAAGGAACCAGCATTCCAGGTCTCTCTGGAATGTGCAGATTCCCTAACCTCTGCCCTCCCCTGACAGGCATGCTCAGACATGAGACAGCAGTTATGTTACTGTAGATGATGCAGACACATGTGCCTGGGCTCTGCCATCCTCATGAGCAAGCGGTGCCACATTCACCGACACACCCTGAGGATGTGAGCCACTCTCAAGTCAGACAGGACTGCCTCCAGCAATTAGGTTCAATATAGAAGGCAGCAGGGCACGGGTGCTGCCTTGGGGCCACTCCTCCCTCTAGGCAGCAACAAAGAACTCTTATTAGCCAGAAACAAAGGTCTTTGAATATGGAGCCCATTGAATATTCAACAACTGTGTGGTCAGGGACCAGTGTAGGATGGGGACTGCAGCCTGGCGTGGCTTCAGATGCTGCACTGTTACCCACCAGCCAGGCCATCCCAGGAAGACATTAATTCTATTCATCTTAGGAACAGAGTGTCTAACACCACAAGTCATGGACACCTGTCACACTGTGAGCTGTAGTGAGCACTCACTTTGGGCATGGCTGTTAGAAGTACTGGAAGCTAGGCCTAGCATTGTATACATATAAGACTGGCAGTCAGGAGGCTGAGGCAGGAGGATTGCTGCAAGTGTGAGAGCCAGCCTGGATTACACATGATCTTGACTGAATTTAGAATCAAAGAGTAGACAGTCAAGTTGAGCATGAAAATTCACCATCATGGGGCTGGCTCTGCAGGTAAAAGAGCTTGTGGTGCAAGCCTGGGGACTTGAGTTTGATCCCCAAAACTCACAGTAGGAGAGACAAACTCTTGAAGGATTTTCTGTGACCTCCACATGTGCTGTGGCACGCACACACATGCACACATGCATGCACACACATGCACACACACAGGCACACATTCAAGAGAGGATTCTCCTTTACAGGAGGTAAAGGAGCTTTCCCACTTGCTATTAAACACTGGGACTGGGGACCTAACATACCATCAGACCCCCCAAGTTCCTCCTCCCCCATGAAATGGGCTGTGGATTTGAAATGGCCTTGTAAACACTAAAATGCCACACAAGCAAAGTAGGTAATGGCTGAATGTTATACTGTATACACATTTTTCTCCTCAGTCACTCCAGGGAAATTTCCCATCTTTAAATAAAACACATCCAACAATATCCTTATTCCCAGGCTCAACTTCTTTGTGCTTTCATACAGGACTGCCCGTTTCAAAACTCCGATTGACTCCTCAGACCTGTGCAGGTAGACACAGAAGGCTTCAGTGTTCTGGCTTTTTAACAGGGAAACTGAGGCTCAGAAAGATGATGACTTGCCCAAGTCTCAGGGTCAAGGCAGTCTCCGCTCTGGCATCTTACAAAGGTCACTCTCTGAGTGCTCATCTCTGAGCCTAGGGCAGCTCATCCTTGGGGAGTATGACTGTCCCGTGTTCCTCTGACTCGGTCTTGTCATCAGCATAACCAATTAGGTCAGTGGTCAGTGTGGGGGCTGCTTAGTCACCATGTCCACTTTTCCAACATCAAAGTGACCATCTAGAACCACCTAGAGTTTCTTGGCCACTGGGATTAGGCGGCAGCAGTTAGGCTGTTACCAAGACAGGAGGGCAGGTAGTACTGATCAAAGCAGAGAGCTACCTTTTTTCTTTTTCATAACTTGGACTGAACCCAGGACCTCACACATGTCAGTCAAATGCTCTACTGTCAGTCACATCTTAAACTCTCTTTGTACTGTGACACAGTTTCACTAAACTCTCCAGAGCAGCCTTGAACTCAGTATCTTCCCGCTTCTGGCTCCTCAGCAGCTGGGATGACAGGCCTGCCCCACCAGGCTCAGCTCAAAGTTGAGTCTCTGAGTCTAGAGCAGTGTCTTGTCCCTAGAAAACCCTCCACTTGAAGGATGGATGGACAGACAGACGGACGGACAAATGACAAGACAGAAGCAAGGACATGTGGAGGGCTTCCTTAGGTCCTGGCAACTATTTCTACAGTCCACCCTTCCAGGAGACTGGGCAAGCATGATCTAAATGGCGCCAAGGACCCTGCTTCTCCCACAGCATGCCTTCCAAGAGCGGACTTCAGCCTAATATAATGCTCACTGAGGGCTTTGCTTCCTACTCTCAGGTTTGTGGAATTCAAAGGGTCTTGTGGGTCATGGAGAGTATGCCAGTTACTGTGGAAATTACAATAGTGTCCTCTTTTCCCACGTGGAACATGGTCCAAGATGTCAATGGATGCCTAAAACAAAGATATCATGGCATTCTCTCTATACTAGATGCATACATACATGTATACATGCACGCACACACATACACACACACACATCATTCAAGTGTGTTTATGTTGCTGGAGATGAACTCAGGGCCTTGAACATGTTATGCAAGCACTCTATCACTGAGCTACAATGTCAGCTCTGTCTTTTCCATCAAAACTAAGCACTGGGAGGGGCTCATGCATATGCATGCAGATGCCTGAGGAGGCCAGAAGGGGGCATCAAATCCCCTGGAGCTGGGATTACAGGGAGTTGTAAGCCTGGTGTGGGTGCTGGGAACTAAACTGGCCTCTGCAAGAGCAGTGCTTGCTCTGACCCACTGAGTCATTGCTCCAAACCAGCTTTTGCAGCTTTGAGGTGTGACAGCAAAGCCATCGTGGATTTTTTAGAAGGGGATACATTCTGTCATCATAGCAAGCTCAGCACACAGGGTTCTTGTATTCTTTTTCTTAGTAAGTCAAACTTGGATGTTTTAACACAGGAAGCACTTCAGATTCTCTTTGTGTGAAGCAAAAAGGACTTAAATTCAAACACTCCCATGGGGACAAAGATATGGGTAGCTGTTGTATAATACAGCATGGATACACACTGTGGTGTTTTGTGTCAGGTAAAGCAAGAGCTATGTGATTTCATCACTCAAAACTTACAAGCTATTTCAGGAATTGTTAATATTTTGGACCATAATTGACCACAGGTTCCTAAAACCATAAACCACAAAATAATGAGGCTGGGGGGGGCAGCTCTCATTCTGTTGGCTGGGAGCTTGGTTAGGATTCTGGAGAGGATGAAGGTTTGCTCTCTATGTGATAAGATTCCTCACCAAATGTGCTCAAGTGGCTGAGTAGATGGTGGGTGGGTGCATGGGTGGGAGGATGGTGGTCTTTGGGGGAGGCCTCCACATCTCCTAAGTGCCCACTCTATGAATCATCCCATCCTTAATCTATACCGTTTAATGTACATCGTCTCTGTCCTCTCTCAAGGATCACATCTCTCTCCACCACTTCTGAATCCTTAGTGTCTGCACAGTGCTTGGCACATGGCAGTGTCCGATAGATAATGAATGAATGAATGAATGAATGAATGAATGAATGAGGAATGGATGACTCTGCTGCCGAGGACGTAGTGTTCAATTGCCGACCAAGCTTTTGATCAAAGTTCACGGTTAACACCCCAGAAAGCAGGATGCAAAAATCAAGGGGGAAAATAATGAAGCATTTTATAATTCTTTTCTGTATAGAAAATAAATGTTTACAATTTAAAATGCAATTCTTTTTTTTTTTCAGAGTATGTCTCTATGTATCCCAAGCTAACCTGGAACTTACTCTGTAGCCCAGGTTGGTTTCAAACTCAAAGATCCTTTAGCCTCAGCCTGTCCAGGCCTCAGGTTACAGGTGTGAAGACATCATTCCCAGCTCTACACTGAAACCTTTTAAAGGGGTGGGGGGAAGCTGGTGGGAAATGCTGACTCTACTTGATGTCCTTGCTTCAGGCTCTTTCCAGAGTCTTGTTTATGGAAATGCACTTTGGTCTGTTAGGAACACAATTCATTGTTCCTAAACAATCCATGATTAACACAATCAGGGAGACACTGATCAGAGTCTGGTTACACTGGTTCCTGAACGCTTGTCCATTCCCTACGGTTTGACACGGAGGTAGGAAGCCTGAAAAAACACATACTTACAGATTCCAACGGCTTTTACCTATAAGTTTCTAGGACTCAGAGACTTAAAA